TGAAACAGAAATATATATAACTGAAGTGATATTAAATTAGATGCATTTTAGGACCAGTATTGTACATTATAGTGTGTAATACAAGACTTAGGACCAGTATTGTATATTATAGTGTGTAATACAAGACTTAGGACCCTATCCTTCAGCATCCTAGTCCATATTGCTTTTAACATGTGCTAAGCATTTATGAATTTGCTTTGTTTATATATTTTATTGAAGTTATGTGCTTTACTTAGTTTTAAAATTATGTACACGTGAGATATGAATGTCACTACTAATAAGGTAGTATGTGCCTGTCCAATACTTTTAATTTCAATTATTGACGTAAAGTTGTAATGGATTGTATAAGTCATAGTACGGCAATTGGACATGTTTGTGTGACAGGAAAAGATTGTTCGATGTATGACCAGTAAAATTTGAAATTACCAAATATGTGTGGCTTGTTTGTATTAACAGTGATGAGAATTTAAGAGAAAACTACCACTGCAGAAAGACCGTCTAGTTTTATAATTAGCTCACCTTGCCCGCAGGGCCAAACGAGCTTCTGCTGTGGCGCAGCATCCGTCGTCAGTACGTCGTCAACTTTTCCTAAAACGACTTCTAAAAAAAGAAAAAGCCTCCTATTTGGTTGATAGATTCCTTGAATGGAGGCTTACCAAGTTTGTAAACAAAAAATATGACCTACTTTCATGGTCATATATGTCCAAAATTTTGAACGTCTTCTTATGAAGAACTGAAAAGCCTAGAGTCATGCTATTAGGCTAATAAATTCCATGGATGGAGCGAATCAAATTTTGTGAATCAAAATGACCTTGACTAACTTGCAAGGTCACATGGGTGAAATATGTCTAAAATTTCAAACGATTTTTTTCTAAAAAGAACTGAAAGGCCTAGAGTTGTGATCAGCTGGAACACAACGAGCTTTAAGAAATAGGATGGGTGTCGCGCGTGATGGCATTGCGTCTTAAGTTTTTTTCCCAAGTCTATCCTCCAGTTATCATATTCTAGATATATAATTGCAATGTAAACAAAACTAATTCGAACTCAAAATCGATAAAACTGAAGCAAAATATTAACGAAAGTAACGTTTGACATGGATTCATTCTAAAATGCTCAAGTATATGAAGAATATGTGTACCTGAAGGATAAGCGTCTTCTTCTTCACGAAAACTTGGGTAGTGACAACGCTATACGGCACACTTCCTTGACGAGAACTTGGGTAGTGACAACGCTACACGGCACACTTCCTCGACGAGAACTTGTGGTAACGCTACACGGCACACTTCCTCGACGAGAACTTGTGGTAATGCTATACGGCACACGTCCTCGACGAGAACTTGTGGCAACGCTATACGGCACACTTCCTCGAATAGAACTTGTGGTAACGCTACACGGCACACTTCCTCGACGAGAACTTGTGGTAACGCTACACGGCACACTTCCTCGACGAGAACTTGGGTAGTTACAACGCTATACGGCATACTTCATCGACGAGAACTTGGGTATTGACAACGCTACACGGCACTCTTCCTCGACGAGAACTTTGGTTGTGACAACGCTACCACGGCACACTTCCTCGACGAGAACTTTGGTTGTGACAACGCTTCCACGGCACACTTCCTCGACGAGAACTTTGGTAGTGACAACGCTACACGGCACACTTCATCGACGAGTACTTGGGTATTGACAACGCTATACGGCACTCTTCCTCGACGAGAACTTTGGTTGTGACAACGCTACCCCGCCACACTTCCTCGACGAGAACTTGGGTAGTTACAACGCTATACGGCATACTTCCTCGACGAGAACTTGGGTATTGACAACGCTATACGGCACACTTCCTCGACGAGAACTTTGGTAGTGACAACGCTACACGGCACACTTCATCGACGAGAACTTGGGTATTGACAACGCTATACGGCACTCTTCCTCGACGAGAACTTTGGTTGTGACAACGCTACCACGGCACACTTCCTCGACGAGAACTTGGGTAGTGGCAATGCTACACGGCACACTTCATCGACGAGAACTTGGGTATTGGCAACGCTAACCGGCACACTTCCTCGACGAGAACTTGGGTAGTGACAACGCTACACGGCACACTTCCTCGACGAGAACTTGGGTAGTGACAACGCTACACGGCACACTTCCTCGACGAGAACTTGGGTAGTGACAACGCTACACGGCACACTTCCTCGACGAGAACTTGGGTAGTGACAACGCTACACGGCACACTTCCTCGACGAGAACTTGGGTAGTGACAACGCTACACGGCACACTTCCTCGACGAGAACTTGGGTAGTGACAACGCTACACGGCACACTTCCTCGACGAGAACTTGGGTAGTGACAACGCTACACGGCACACTTCCTCGACGAGAACTTGGGTAGTGACAACGCTACACGGCACACTTCCTCGACGAGAACTTGGGTAGTGACAACGCTACACGGCACACTTCCTCGACGAGAACTTGGGTAGTGACAACGCTACACGGCACACTTCCTCGACGAGAACTTGGGTAGTGACAACGCTACACGGCACACTTCCTCGACGAGAACTTGGGTAGTGACAACGCTACACGGCACACTTCCTCGACGAGAACTTGGGTAGTGACAACGCTACACGGCACACTTCCTCGACGAGAACTTGGGTAGTGACAACGCTACACGGCACACTTCCTCGACGAGAACTTGGGTAGTGACAACGCTACACGGCACACTTCCTCGACGAGAACTTGGGTAGTGACAACGCTACACGGCACACTTCCTCGACGAGAACTTGGGTAGTGACAACGCTACACGGCACACTTCCTCGACGAGAACTTGGGTAGTGACAACGCTACACGGCACACTTCCTCGACGAGAACTTGGGTAGTGACAACGCTACACGGCACACTTCCTCGACGAGAACTTGGGTAGTGACAACGCTACACGGCACACTTCCTCGACGAGAACTTGGGTAGTGACAACGCTACACGGCACACTTCCTCGACGAGAACTTGGGTAGTGACAACGCTACACGGCACACTTCCTCGACGAGAACTTGGGTAGTGACAACGCTACACGGCACACTTCCTCGACGAGAACTTGGGTAGTGACAACGCTACACGGCACACTTCCTCGACGAGAACTTGGGTAGTGACAACGCTACACGGCACACTTCCTCGACGAGAACTTTGGTAGTGACAACGCTACACGGCACACTTCATCGACGAGAACTTGGGTAGTGACAACGCTACACGGCACACTTCCTCGACGAGAACTTGGGTATTGGCAACGCTAACCGGCACATTTCCTCGAAGAGAACTTTGGTAATGGCAAGGCTACACGGCACACTTCCTCGACGAGAACTTGGGTAGTGACAACGCTACACGGCACACTTCCTCGACAAGAACTTTGGTAGTAACAACGCTACATAGCACACTTCCTCGACGAGAACTTGTGGCAACGCTATACGGCACACTTCCTCGACGAGAACTTTGGTAGTGACAACGTTATACAGCACACTTCCTCGACGAGAACTTGGGTAGTGGCAACGCTACACGGCACACTTCCTCGGTGAGAACTTTGGAAGATGTAGATTTATGTTCTCTGTAGCGACCACTGCCTACTGCAGATCAATGTTCTCTGTAGCGACCACTGTCTACTGTATATTAAGGTTCTTTGTAGCGACCACCGTCTACTGTAGATTCATGTTCTCTGTAGCGACCACTGCCTACTGTAGATTAATGTTCTCTGTAGCGACCACTGCCTACTGTAGATTTATGTTCTCTGTAGCGACCACTGTCTACTGTAGATTCATGTTCTCTGTAGCGACTTCTGTCTATAGTGCATTAATGTTCTCTGTAACGACCACTGCCTACTGTAGATTCATGTTCTTTGTAGAGACCACTGTCTACTGTAGATGTATGTTCTCTGTAGCGACCACTGTCTACTGTAGATTCATGTTCTCTGTAGCGACTACTGTCTACTGTAGATCAATGTTCTCTGTAGCGACCACTGTCTACTGTAGATTCATGTTCTCTGTAGCGACCACTGTCTACTGTAGATTCATGTTCTCTGTAGCGACGACTGTCTGTTGTAGATTAATATTCTCTGTAGCGACCACTGTCTACTGTAGATATTCATGTTCTCTGTAGCGACCACTGCCTACTGTAGATTAATGTTCTCCGTAGCGACCACTGTCTACTGTAGATTCATGTTTTCTGTAGCGACCACTGCCTACCGTTGATCAATGTTCTCTGTAGCGACCACTGCCTACTGTAGATGTATGTTCCCTGTAGCGACCACTGCCTACTGTAGATGTATGTTCTCTGTAGCGACCACTGCCTACTGTTGATCAATGTTCTCTGTAACGACCACTGCCTACTGTAGATCAATGTTTTCTGTAATGACCATGTCTACTGTGTATATATATGTTCTTTGTAGCGACCACTGCCTACTGTAGATTAATGTTCTCTGTAGCGACCACTGTCTACTGTAGATCAATGTTCTCTGTAACGACCACTGCCTACTTTGTAGCGGTTACTATCTACTTTATATGTGTGTACATGATTAGTATGACTGTCTATTATATATATAGTATATCAAAGGAATGAACGCACAATAAATAGTTTCGTTTTTATTCATAAGCTTAACAAAGTAACGAATTAACAAATACATCATGACGTCATGGATAATAGTGAGGTTATAATACAAAAGGAAAATGTATTAATATGAGGATATGTAATAAAATACTTTCAACTTCTAATATGGTGTCAGTGTAAAATTTATCAAAAAAACCACACATATTTTGTTTATATTCTTGGACCCTTGTTCTTAATGTTTACCTGTTTCCGCTTTGTAGTATCCATTTAACCCTGTTAACGTTACTACATATAAATTATTCCGTCTTTGCGTATTGCAGATTTATCTTCTCTTGTGAGCAGGTATTGATTGTTAGTCATTGGTTTGTGTGAGAAAATTACGTCGTTTTCTCAAAAATTTATGACGTTACTCTCACAAACAAATGACGTAACAATCAATACCTGCTCACAAGAGCAGATAACTCCGAATACGCAAAGACGGAATATATCGTGTGTTACATGACAATGACAAACTTATCATAAAATTCTAATCATTTAAATTGCACGACCTTCATTTAGATATCAATTCGCATAAGCAAAACCTGGATTTCATACATTTTGTTGACTTCAAAGCTTTCATCTAGGTTTAATTTCGTTAAGCAGGATAGTATGGAGTTCTGATTGTCTTTCACTATTGATTATCACTAATTTTCTTATTCATTTATTCATTAAGATATCAAAAATACATTCCGTAGATTATGAGTTGATACCATTGGTATTATCCTATTTACTGTTCTAAGTTTGGTGTTTTGCCTTACTTACGTCTGCCTCAGAGTTATTTCCCATACATGTCTATTAAAATAGATTCAAATTCTCCTAAGCATTAGTAAACCCCTTATAAAAACTTAAAACAGAATTAGTCAGAGTGTAGGGCATGTCTTGGACTTTATTCCATGTTTGACGCCTCGATTTTGTTGTCCTTGAACTGTGCCACAAACTCGCGGATGCTGTCCTCCGAGACTGCCCAGCCGTCTTCAGCCTTGTGTCGGTAAACTTGACTGGCACCGAGATCTGTGATCGCGATACACCGACGTATCTCTGGTCCCATTAGGTACTTATACAGACTCTCACATAAGTCCTCCTGTGGTGACAGAACACACTTCTGTTAGGTTCAATCATAAATGTAATGCATCAATATGTTACAGTATCAGAATAATTACGCTTGTTGCTATTTAAAATTAACAAACGGAAAAAAAGAGATAACCAAAATGTAAATAAAACTATAATTCGGACTCAAAATCGGCAAACCTTGAAAATGTACAAGTAGAATAAGACAAGAGACCGTATTCATGAAACCGTTCTTGATTCTGTGGTCAAACCAACTCTCGTGTAACTAGCTTAATCATGCAACACAGTCAAACGATCCATCTTAAAAACTGAAAACAGATTTGAGTGTCTCAGAAAGTCTTCAAAGTCACAAGAAATTGGGCTTGAGAACAGAATCTGCGTTTGAGCATGAGGACAATTTCATGAATACAAGCCCAAGTGTTCAAGGTTAAAAAATACATCAAAAGTTTGTAGAACCTCATCATAGAACAATAGCCATTATTTTATAATCTATCAACACCATGCTGTCACATCGTCTTCCTATCGATCCATATTGTATTGGTGACTGCGGCAAATTAACACCGGCTAGGTGGATTGGTGTAGAACGAGACAAATGGCCGCCGTTATGTACACCAAATAATTTCACCTGTGACCTGGTGTACAGGCCAATGATTACGGCACCACAGTACCGATCCACTCTCCGTGTAATAGGTAATACTACCCTCCGTAAATCATTAAACAAAAACAATCACACCGAAAGAATACTTTTAAATGTCTATCAAGTTATGTTAAAGTCTCTTAAATCTCAAGCGCGCAAATATTTCTAACTTATAACTTCTAACAGTGGTCGCTATAGAGTAATTTATATTTGTTGATAACATTAGCACTTTTTATTGCATCGATGACTTACGGAAGTATTTCCTACAAAGAAATACAAGTCCTGTTCGTCGCCATCTTTGTAGTACTCCTTGGCGATACTGGACATAGCAGCCTTGCAACTCTCAGCATCTTCTGGTGAATCTAGATAAATAAGGTGGTATTGTCACAGACTTGGATATATGAAGTAGTTAGTTTTATATGACAAGATGAATGCGAATAATTCCAAAGTTATTATGTAAAAATTGAGAAAATAAATTCAAAACATTTAATTCTAATTAAGGGAGATTCGAATTGGGGCTAGATTCATAGTTACACGTCAAAGTGGCTAGATTCATAGTTACACGTCAGAGTGGCTAGATTCATAGTTACACGTCAGAGTGGCTAGATTCAGTTATACGTAAGTGAGATGTAAAGAGTAATACATATATACAACAACATTTTTCAATTTAGTCAGAGAGATTGCTGACCAGCAACTCTAATAAAAATAAAACATGTCAAAGAAGTTGTGGAATTAAGCAAATAAACCCTGTTCTAAGCCAAACTTTGTGTTCTTGTTCTTAAAATTTGGTATTAACCAAAAAAACACATAAACAGAGCGTGTCATAAACATAAACAGGGCGTGTCATAAACATAAACAGGGCGAGTCATTGACATAAACAGGGCGTGTCATAAACATAAACAGGGCGTGTCTTTATCATAAACAGGGTGTGTCATGAACATAAACAGGGCGTGTCATTAACATAAACAGGGCGTGTCATTAACATAAACAGGGCGTGTCATTAACATTAACAGGGCGTGTCATTAACGAAAACAGAGCGAGTCATCAACATAAACAGGGCATGTCGTTAACATAAACAGGGCGTGTCATTAACATAAACAGGGCGTGTCATTAACATAAACAGGGGGTACCATTAACCCAAACGGAGTGTGTCCTTAACAACAGCGCGTGGCATTACCTGGTTTTCATTCAAACATAATTTATTGACATTGAATAGTCAAAGGGATTGGGCACACGTTCTTACAACTTACTAGGCCCTTACCAACACTCTAAACAGTGTTAAGAGTCTCACAGAGACGCTGACCCATTTAGGTTCAATATTGTCTCTCAGGAATCTTCACTACGGTGGCTTATTTGTGCCATTTCGTTGTTTCGTTTTTCGTCCCCAAAAACGAGAATCGCTAAACCTGCTTTTCACCCCGAAAAGTCGAGATTCAACAAATCTAGTTCTGGTTTCGGGGCGAAAAGACGAAACAATGAAATAGCAAAATTAGCTACCTAACTTTACGGAGTACCGCCTTCCTGTGAGTATCACCTACCTGTGAAGTATACTAAGCATTTAGATTCCTGCAAGGTTTCCACGAACCGTCTGGACACAGATTTGATCATAGGCATTTTGTACGGGAACTCCTGTGTAACAACACAAACACACAACAACAACGGTAAAACAACAGTCACAAGGGAAACTCTAATAAATGTTATGTGAATTTAAATCGAATATTTTATATGGGAACAAAACAAAAACAGAATCCAGTGTCCTTACATAATGTCTTTTAAGAACGTACTTTTTTCAATATTAACTTTTGCTACTCACATCAGAGCGCCAGTGTTAAGAAGGACCACCTTTAAACTGTTATGGATTAGTTTTCACTACAACAAAGTACCAGAGTTGGTTTCGATTACCTTAGGTGAGCTATGACCTTGCAGTTTGAAATATGTTTCAGGACACTTTAGTCGTGGATTTTCATTCTTTCAACCAAACGTCAGTACCACTAATAAGTCTTAAAAGGTGAAATGACTTTGTGGTGCAGTAAAAATGTTTACTTAGTTTAGGCTTTCGGCATCTACTTTTTTATTATGAAATAGGTCCATCCTTGATTCGTATTTATATTGAATAAGTTAAGGAAAGGGAGAAAAGACGCCATTTAATTCTACGTTTTGGCGTTATTTTTACTTCGGTTTGAAGTTTTTTACGTCTTTTCGCTTCGCCGGGTTTTCGTCTTTTCGTAAAGTCTTTTCTCGGGCGACAAAGCGAAAAAACGAAATGTCCTATATAAGCCACCAAATGAAAGTCCACACTGCATAAATCCTTAGTATGATTGATGGACATACATTTAAAACAATGTCAACGTCTTTACCTTGATTGGGGCTTCCATGATGGTAGCTCGGCCCTCAGTCGTGATCACCTTCCCCTCCGCGTTCACAAGCACCAGCGCGGGAATCCCTACAAAGAGAAGTAAACAAGATACCCACTGAGGGAAAGCAAAGACAACGAGAAGTAAGCAAGATGATCCAGCGAGGAAATACATAGACAAATCGAAGTAAACGGGATATCCATAGTGGGAATGGCGACCACGAATCAGTTTGAGAAGTACATAACGTATCACAATTAATGTTGCTCATGTGATGGGTACGGTTGAGTATTTGAATGCCTGATAAAAGTAATGTTTCTCACATTGCTCGTGTTACGATGTCCCGAGATTGTTTATGTCCCGGGTGTTTATCATTTGGTTTGCGCTAAAACATTACAGATTTAATTAACACTTTTTTCTGTTTTAAAGATCAATAAAATCCAAAGTTACGTTAAGTATGATGAAACGCTGCTGCAACACTGTGTTATGGTCAACTGATTGACAGAACAGTGACAGATGAAGACGTACCACTGATGTCGAATTTGTTGCTGAAGCTTTTACACCGTGGGTCTTTGTAGGGAAGGGCGAGCCAGGGCATCTCACTTAGGTACTCATGATACTGTTCCTCACTCTTGTCACTGGACACGAAGACGATCTCAAACGGCTTACCAGCATCCTTCAGCTCCTTGTACTTTTCCGCCAGTTGTGGGGTGAACGCCCGACAAGGAGGACACTGAAATATATGAAAGGGCATGTGTTAAACTTGCTAACTATTGAAATAAGCTCTGTAAAGGTCATCGTCTGTAACGTTATTTCTATTAAGATATCTAAATATCATTTCATCATCAGCATCTTTTAAGGAGTGTGACTCTTAGCCATGATACTGTGAAAAATTCATTATATCAATCACTAATACGCATACATTAAACGAGTTAATGTTCGCTCTAATAAACGTGTGTCCCCTCAATTATTTCCGTGATGAAGCTACTGAAGTTGCCGAGTGACTAGTAAGTTTGCAGCCCCACACACTGCCAAGGGAGATAGTTCTGGGACTAGCACATGGCTGATAGAGGACTAACTCCCTGAATCGAGAAGTTCAGAAATTGTGGCTAGATTAATTCAGAGTTATACGTTAGTATGGCTAGATTCACAACTATACGATAGCGTGGCTATAGGTCCTTTTGAACTTCCCAAACTAAAATACTCGGGTTCAAGAATATGGCTTCACTCACAGGTTTAAGGCTCAATTCACAATTAAGTTATGTGCGTAAAAAGAGCTAAATTAACAACAATTGTTAAAGAGTAAGGCTAAAATGCACAGTTATACGATAGTGTGGCTAGATTTGAAGTTATACGATAGTGTGGCTAGATTTAAAGTTATACGATAGTGTGGCTAGATTTAAAGTTATACGATAGTGTGGCTAGATTTACAGTTATACGATGTGGCTAGATTTAAAGTTATACGATAGTGTGGCTAGATTTAAAGTTATACGATAGTGTGGCTAGATTTACAGTTACACGATAGTGTGGCTAGATTCATAGATAAACAATAGTGTGGCTAGTTCACAGTTATACGATAGTGTGGCTTGATTCAGCGATAGTCGGTACTATGGCTAGAAACACGGTAGTATGATATTGTGGCTAGATTCATATATAATCGATAGCGTGCGTGGGTAGATGCAGCATCATACGTTATAGTATGGCTAGCTATACAGTTACACGATAGTCTGGCTAGATTTACAGTTATACGAAAGTGTGACTAGATCCACAGTTATAAGATAGTGTGGCTAGATTCACAGATATAAGATAGTGTGGCTAGATCCACAGATATATGATAGTGTGGCTAGATCCACAGTTATACGATAGTGTGGCTAGCTCACAGTTATACGATAGTGTGGCTAGATTCAGCGACATTCGGTACTATGGCTAGAAACACGGTAGTATGATATTGTGGCTAGATTCACATATAATCGATAGCGTGCATGGGTAGATGCAGCATCATACGTTATAGTGTGGCTAGATATACAGTTATACGATAGTATGGCTAGATTCACAGTTATACGATAGTATGGCTAGATTTACAGTTATACGATAGTGTGGCTAGATTTAAAGATATACGATCGTGTGGCTAGATTCACAGTTACACGATAGTGTGGCTAGATTTACAGTAATACGATAGTATGGCTAGATTCACAGTTATACGATAGTGTGGCTAGATTCACAGTTATACGATAGTGTGGATAGATTTACAGTTATACGATAGTATAGCTAGTTTCACAGTTATACGATAGTGTGGCTAGATTTACAGTTATACGATAGTGTGGCTAGATTCACAGTTACACGATAGTGTGGCTAGATTCACAGTTATACGATAGTGTACCTAGATTCACAGTTACACGTTAGTTTGGCAAGATTCACAGTTATACGATAGTATGGCTAGATTTACAGTTATACGATAGTGTGGCTAGATTCACAGTTATACGATAGTGTGTCTAGATTAACAGATAGAGGATAGTGTGGCTAGATTAACAGATAGAGGATAGGGTGGCTAGATCCACAGTTATACGTCAGTGTGGCTAAATTCACAGTTATACGTGAGTGTGACTAGTTTCACATATATACGTCAGTATGGCTAGATTCACAGGTATACGTCAGTGTGGCTAGATTCACAGTTATACGTCATTGTGGCTAGATGATTCGTATTTATACGATAGTGTGGCTAGATTCATAGATATGCGTTAGTGTGGCTAGAACCACAGTTATACGTTAGTGTGGCTAGGTTCACAGTTATACGTCATTGTGGCTAGATGATTCGTATTTATACGATAGTGTGGCTAGATTCAGCGACATTCGGTACTATGGCTAGAAACACGGTAGTATGATATTGTGGCTAGATTCACATATAATCGATAGCGTGCATGGGTAGATGCAGCATCATACGTTATAGTGTGGCTAGATATACAGTTATACGATAGTATGGCTAGATTCACAGTTATACGATAGTATGGCTAGATTTACAGTTATACGATAGTGTGGCTAGATTTAAAGATATACGATCGTGTGGCTAGATTCACAGTTACACGATAGTGTGGCTAGATTTACAGTAATACGATAGTATGGCTAGATTCACAGTTATACGATAGTGTGGCTAGATTCACAGTTATACGATAGTGTGGATAGATTTACAGTTATACGATAGTATAGCTAGTTTCACAGTTATACGATAGTGTGGCTAGATTTACAGTTATACGATAGTGTGGCTAGATTCACAGTTACACGATAGTGTGGCTAGATTCACAGTTATACGATAGTGTACCTAGATTCACAGTTACACGTTAGTTTGGCAAGATTCACAGTTATACGATAGTATGGCTAGATTTACAGTTATACGATAGTGTGGCTAGATTCACAGTTATACGATAGTGTGTCTAGATTAACAGATAGAGGATAGTGTGGCTAGATTAACAGATAGAGGATAGGGTGGCTAGATCCACAGTTATACGTCAGTGTGGCTAAATTCACAGTTATACGTGAGTGTGACTAGTTTCACATATATACGTCAGTATGGCTAGATTCACAGGTATACGTCAGTGTGGCTAGATTCACAGTTATACGTCATTGTGGCTAGATGATTCGTATTTATACGATAGTGTGGCTAGCTTCATAGATATGCGTTAGTGTGGCTAGATTCACAGTTATACGTTAGTGTGGCTAGGTTCACAGTTATACGTCATTGTGGCTAGATGATTCGTATTTATACGATAGTGTGGCTAGATTCATAGATATGCGTTAGTGTGGCTAGATTCACAGTTATACGTTAGTGTGGCTAGTTTCGCAGTTATACGTCAGTGTTGCTAGATTCCTATTTATACGATAGTGTGGCTAGATTCATAGATGTACGATAGTGTGGCTATATTCACAGATATACGATAGTGTGGCTAGCTTCACAGATATACAATAGTGTGATTAGATTCACAGATATAAGATAGTGTGGCTAGATACACAGATATAGGATAGTGTGGCTAGATCCACAGATATAGGATAGTGTGACTAGATACACAGATATACGGTAGTGTGGCTAGATCCACAGATATACAATAACGTGGCTAGATTCACAGATATAGGATAGTGTGGCAAGATCCACAGATATACGATAGTGTGGCTAGATCCACAGATATACGATAACGTGGCTAGATAAACAGATATAGGATAGTGTGGCAAGATCCACAGATATACGATAACGTGGCTAGATCCACAGATATACGATAGTGTGGCTAGATTCACAGTTATACAATAGTGTGGCTAGATTTACAGTTATAAGATAGTGTGGCTAGATTCACAGTTATACGATAGTGTGTCTAGATTCAAAATATACGATAACGTGGCAAGATTCACATTTATACGATAGTGTGGCTAGATTAACAGATAGAGGATAGTGTGGCTAGATTAACAGATAGAGGATAGTGTGGCTAGATCCACAGATATACGATAACGTGGCTAGATAAACAGATATAGGATAGTGTGGCAAGATCCACAGATATACGATAACGTGGCTAGATAATCAGATATAGGATAGTGTGGCAAGATCCACAGATATACGATAACGTGGCTAGATAAACAGATATAGCATAGTGTGGCAAGATCCACAGATATACGATAACGTGGCTAGATCCACAGATATACGATAACGTGGCTAGATCCACAGATAAACGATAGTGTGGCTAGATTTACAGTTATACGATAGTGTGGCTAGCTTCACAGATATACAATAGTGTGATTAGATTCACAGATATAAGATAACGTGGCTAGATTCACAGATATAGGATAGTGTGGCTAGATCCACAGATATAGGATAGTGTGACTAGATACACAGATATACGGTAGTGTGGCTAGATCCACAGATATACGATAACGTGGCTAGATTCACAGATATAGGATAGTGTGGCAAGATCCACAGATATACGATAGTGTGGCTAGATCCACAGATATACGATAACGTGGCTAGATAAACAGATATAGGATAGTGTGGCAAGATCCACAGATATACGATAGTGTGACTAGATCCACAGATATAGGATAGTGTGGCAAGATCCACAGATATACGATAACGTGGCTAGATCCACAGATATACGATAGTGTGGCTAGATCCACATATAAACGATAGTGTGGCAAGATCCACAGATATACGATAGTGTGACTAGATCCACAGTTATACGATAGTGTAGCTAGATCCACATATAAACGATAGTGTGGCAAGACCCACAGATATACGATAGTGTGACTAGATCCACAGTTATACGATAGTGTGGCTAGATCCACAGATATACGATAACGTGGCTAGATCCACAGATATAGGATAGTGTGGATAGATCAACATATAAACGATAGTGTGGCTAGATCCACAGATATACGATAACGTGGCTAGATCCACAGATATACGATAACGTGGCTAGATTCACAGATATAGGATAGTGTGGCTAGATCCACATTATATAGGATAGCCAGATAAACGATAGCGTGACTAGATCCACAGATATACGATAGCGTGGCTAGATACACATTTATACAGAAAATATGTCTATGTAATATGTTAGAAAAGGTCTTACCCAGTGGGCTGAAAAGTACAGTCCAATAACTTTCCCTTCCAGGTTCTCTGGAAAGTCACCTTTCACAAACGTTTTCTTATCTGCCGCAGACAAGTCTTCGCCAATAAAAATGTCATTGACTGACTTTGGAAACCATGGAAACATGGCCCCTTCCGGATCAGATCCCACTTGCTCTCGGCCCTTGTCTGTGATAGCCTCCCCTGTTTTGGCGTCCACTATAACCAGCGTGGGGATTCCCTGAATCTTGAACTTCTTGGAAAGAGCATTCTGTAATATACATGTAGAACAAAAATTATAAGAATTTAACGTTTGCTAGACAACACTCCGGCTTTCCACTAAGATGACCGGCAGGGCTCATTCCCGAGGTCGACATAAAAGGAATTTAACATCCAAAAAGACGTTTTTCTTTTGACCACACAACTCCGATGACCTAGTTGGAAATACGATATAATAGTCCATTGCTTTGAGTCATGGAATATTTTATGTAATTGGGGGCAAAGACATTAAGAGGTTTACATGCACAAATAACCAATATATCCGTTATACAATCAAAGAATAAATCAAACCAAATGATCTTACAGGCGCGTAGCTTCCATGTAAGCAAGTACGCAGTTACATTCCCATCAGAAATTCTCAAATAAACTATTACAATTTGCTTATAATGTATTATATGTTGTCCGACATACTGATTAAGTGTTTTTTACGGTGATCTTTTTTTTCATTTTTTTTTTCAATAAAGCTAGATTTCTATGACGACTACAAACAATCAGTTTGTAAATTTAGGGAATACTTGGTTCCGATTTCATTCTTAGCATTCTTTTTTTAGATATTATAAAACAAAAGAAGAAAAAATAAACACTCAAGTATTGCTCTCAAAAAAGACATCAGATGAACAATAGAGCTTCTTGATTTCGTTTTTTTCGTTAGACGTAGAGGGCACATCCCTTCCTATGGCGGTTAATGATAACTTTGCATGCACGTAGCTTACATGCAGTTAATGCAAGCTATATATACGCGCCAGATTCTCATAAAAATGTATTGAACCTGACGAGTTACCTCCCGCAAATTAGCTAAATATAACAAAATATTTATTCATTTTTTTTTGTAAAAAAAAAAACAACGAAAGAAAAAAAAACCAACATCTTATTCATGTACCCGCTTAATCAAAATAGATACATCCTCGTTTATAGGTGAACCCTTTCGCAGTATGTATATGGATTTATTGTATCTTCAGCGGTAACTCATATTGATACTTGTTTCGAAGGCATGTATTGATTATAAGTTACATATAAAATATGTTCCTGGATATCTTTGAGTTGTCACCCTTGGAATAGTCAATACACTGTACCTACCTTTTTTTCCCGATCGACGAAGGGCAGGGCAAGCCATGGCATTTCCTTTGCGTATGCTTTGAATAATTCGTCGTCTTTGTCAGAACTGACGAACACAATTTCTAATTTATTGGCATCAGCTTGCTTCAATTTGTTGTAAAACTCTATTAGTATCGGTTTGAATGCTCTACACGGAGGGCACCACTGTGCCGAGAAATATAATCCAACATACTCCTTTTCACCAAGTCCTTCTGATTGATCGGTGTCCACGAGTGTAAAACCTCCTTCATGATTCTTCTGAAGGCTGTTTCCTAACAGCTCCGACATTTTTCCTTCTCCTGCCATTTCACGTCTAGTAAACGGCGAATTTAATGTAAAACTTTGAATAGAATTGTGAACGGCCTTGTAAGTATACTGCGCTCGAGCAGGTATGTACTAATAATTGAGCTATATAGTACGACCTAGCTATTTATACCAATACAGGTTTGTGCCAGCTACGCACATGTAATACACACCGGCGTAGTTGTCTATTTTCTTAAATTATCTATGAATAAGCCTACCTACATTATATTGAACTATTTATAGAAATGACCGATTCGATTATAATAATTTATTCAGTTCACCTGGGTTATTAAATCAACAGTATTGTTTGATGTCTATGTATTAAATAGACCAATGCATACTTTTGTAGGTATATTACCCAGTGTTAATACGGGTACCTTGGTCACGTCTAGCCAGAAACATGATAATAAAAAATAAAAATAAATTATTAATAATAATAAAATTATTTTATTAAAGTGTCACATATTGATCTACAGAAATACAGATTAAATGTACATAGAAATAGATCAATATCCAGCCAAAGTTAATCGACTTATGAGACACTAAACAGGCAGAGAATATACATTAAAAACAGTTGTCAATTTTAAAAAGCTCAATATTTGTCAGCTTACTTTAGCTTATTATACCTTATAGCCACACATTCCTGTCAAAGCTAGTTTGACTTATGATACTTGAAAAGGCAATATTATATAAACCTTGGAATAAGTTTCACCAGATATTTGTCAACTTATTATATCATTTAGTTTTAAGTTATTTCAATATACATTGTTGTCAAAGTAAATTATTACTTATGAGACTCCAAAAATGCAATAAGATACAAAAGAACAAGTGTCATCGCATTTTGAGAGAACAATACTTATTTAAACTATCCATAAGTTATTCTAGCACATTGATGTCGAAGTTAATTTAGACTTCTTGAACTCCAAACGACAATAATTTATTTGAAAATAATATAAATATCACCAAATTTAAAAAGATCAATATATTTGTCAGCTTACTATATAGCTTATCATAAGATATTATAACACTGTTACATATTGGTGTCAAAGTAAATTTAACTTTAGAGACTCCAAAAAGACAATATACATTAAATATATAAGAGCCACCACATTTAAAGAGGCCAATTATATAGATATATATATTTGTTAGCTAATTATAAGGTATTTCATTACCTTTTCATGTACTTCCAACTTTAGCGAGAAAACCGCTTTGGTACTTTATCGGATGATATATCATTATGTACTGGTAAAATGTCACATATATTATGCTCATTACTTAGATTACTGCATGTAAAGTTTTCTACGCGTAGACGCGTTAAAAATGAATTGACCTATATTTGTCTGGAGTACACCATTTTTCATTATGTTAAGGAACTGTGTGTCACTGTCCTGCATTAAGAACCGCTCTATAACATCACAGGCTTGATTTCGCAAATTATATCTTAAATCACTGTACAGTTTGCACTCAATTAAGAAATGTTTTTCGTCTTCGACTTTCCTCATGTCACAATGGTTACACAGTCTATCATACAGTTGAATGGGCGGCCTGGCATATCTTCCAGTCTCCACTGCTAGCGGAAGACATTCGGCGCGAAACTGGGCTAGGCATATGTGTACGTATATACATGTATACATGTATACACATGAGCGAGCAGCAGTGTTGGTCATAATTCTATATATACACATTATCAATTATGACTTGGCGAATTGTATTCGTCATTTCAGAATTCGTCATGTGGAACACATGAAGAAAAGCAGTAGAATATATTGATTCACATATCGTTAAACTACTTTTTTTTTTATATCTGCAAATAATGCTAATGCGCTATTTCTTATCACATATAATGTTTTCTCTTACTCTGGTCACGTAATATCTGAAATATCTCTGCTCCTTCCGTCGAGGTTAAGGGGTTTTCAAATTGGGTAAAACCCCAGACTTGCTGGGTTTTTTTGCACCAATTTAAAAATCCCTATTCTAAATCATATCATGAGTCGAACCTGACCCGATATCATTAGCCGATATCGTGGGCCAAACCTGCCCCGATATCATAGGTTGAACCTGACCCGATATCATTAGCCGATATCGTGGGCCAAACCTGCCCCGATATCATGGGTTGAACCTGTCCCGATATCATGGGCCGATATCGTGGGCCTAACCTGTCCCGATATCATGGGCCGATATCGTGGGCCTAACCTGTCCCGATATCATTAGCCGATATGGTGGGCCTAACATGTCCCGATATCATTAGGCGATATCGTGGGCATAACCTGTCCCGATATCATGGGCCAATATCTGTGATCTAACCTGTCCCAATATCACAGGCCAATATTGTGGCTCTAACCTGTCCCAATAACATGGGCTGATATCGTGGGCCTAACCTGTCCCAATAGCATGGGCTGATATCGTGGGCCTAACCTGTCCCGATATCATGGATTGAACCTGTCATCATTCTATAGCAATACAGTACAGCCAAAAAGGGAATGTTTAACTTGTTTGGGCACCCTGAGTTTACTGTGAGGTAATCGTCTGTGTCATAACAAACCCAGCCCTAACCCACAGTAACCTTCGTTTTTTTACGGTGTCTTAAAACTTATACTAAAAGGAATGTACACACACTTCTTTGTGTCAACTAATAAGATCTCGAAATTTGAATCTTTGCTCAAAATCTATCAGAGGGGTTACTGGACTTACACGCGGGTCGAACTTTACTGTCCTGATATCATCATCAAACTTTATTTCCTCCAAAAAGGAGATATTTGTGTACAAGAAAAAAGAAAAAGAAAAAAAAAAAAGGACACAAATGCCGCGCGGTAGGGTGCAACTAAAGAACATTTTCATTATTACAGTAGCACTTCTCAGGAAATAGAAATGATAACCTTGCTTTATACTAACCTAAGAAAGCTAGGTACAAACTAGATTATCAGTGGATTTCGTGCAGTTGACACATAGGCCTAGCTCATTTGGCAGAAAAAAGTGTGCACTTAGCCATGATCAGTTGATATTATTATTTTTCCGCGTTTCGGAGAATAGTGGGAACCATTCTGAGTATATGAGGACAGTTGCCTGTCTCGTGCAGAGGTATCAGAATCAGATTGAGGCACATGCTAAGGGTAGTTTACGAGTACGTGAATGTTCATTCTAGCTTCGCACCTCGCACGGCGCAGTACAGTTTGAAATAATACTATAGCAGAATTTTATGTTTATGTAACAAATCTATGTGTGGTCATCGTCATATGTTAGAAATCCCAGCATCAATTTTGTAAAAAAAAACAACATAAGCATTGTCGGGTTGGTACACCACCTGCCGCGCCTAATAAGGTTTTCAGGTTGGGTGTTTGTATGGCGATGAACCATGCGAGAGCATATGTGGGAGGAATGTTTGTGTGTACGGTAAATGAAGTCAGAGTTATTTTTATATTTTTTTTTATGAATAAATGCCGACTCAATCCGTGCAATCGGTCGATCAGCTATTTGATATTTAGGTGTTGTGTTATGCTTGCCTTGGTACGTATAAGGAGTATATAGAGGACTAACATAATCTATTACCTGTAACTGAGCGAGATCGGGTTATCTCAGTCGAGGGCTCAGATTCTGTAACAAAATGGGATGTTACAGAATTGTCAATTTCTGTTTTCGGTAGATGTGTATATGGTTTGGTTGGGATGTTACAGAATGGTCAATTTCAAGCCATTAACGCGCGAATGAATATACCGCAGTTAAAAAATTCCGCGAAATATCACGTAAAGGTACCAGACAGATCGAACAAGATTTATAGAAAAATCTAGCATGGGGTATGACGTGGGATATCTCTGTCTGAGACGCGAGAAATAGCCATCGAGGACTTCACAGGGTGAACCCTTACATTATTTACTGTATTATGCAGAATCCAGTATTACCTGACATAATAAGTCTTTTATACTACGTCATTTTCCCATTGGAAATCCTGTACGGTACGTACATCCCAATTAAAATGGCGACATTTCTTTCATGTAAATACTATTTCACGATATCTTATAAATTAGATCTACATTAACGATAAAACAATTACGTCACCTATCTATACAATATTCTAATTGATACTTGCAAGAGGAACACCGCTTACGAGTTATCTCCCTTGGATTGCTTTCATATAGCTCTCACCTTTCTTTTTAACATTAGTCATTGCTGACGTAATTCCAAAAGAAATCTAACATGCTAAATTTTAACTTATATTTTGCAAATAAAGTTCTCATGGTTAAAAATCAAAGATACGAATAATTTTATACAATATTACCTAAAAAACGCGGCTGGATATATTTCTGTAACTGTGTGTTGAAAAACGAAGTCGGGAAAATTAATAAAATAAGTAAATGATCATAGAATCCAATGGGGAAATGACTTGACATAGCACTGTTCATTAAATTTCAAGTATTTGTGTAAGGGATTTAGATTTAAGAAAAACAGCATCTGTTATGCTCAGAAAATAAATATTTCCAAATGTACTGCATGCCGAAAATAATTTGTTTACTTGTTGTATTCGTGTAAAATGGCGGGATTGAAATATATAGGCACTCAAATCGACGGTTACATCCACATTGAAGCCGTAGCTCATACAGACTATAGATATACCTCTCCACTCATATCATTAGGGAGCCTTTTTATTCTGAACTCATATATTGCTGTACACTGAACAAATCGACGAATAGGATCGGAACATTGCAGTGCCATGATTTACGCTTCATGGTAACGTGACGTTATTATTTCGTCCAAGTTTTTGTGAAGAAAAGACAACTATAATAAGGGGTAATGAAAAGTAATGGTTGGCAGAAAATATCTATACACCTAAAGAATCGCTACTTACATGTATGTATGGCATACGTGTAACACACTGACACAGTTCATCTTAGATTGAATTATCAACTTGGGGCAGGTTCGGACAATGATAACGGGACAAGTTCGGTCTATGCATCACATGTGAAGTCGTGAAGTTGTGGGCAAATATGACGTTGCATGCTAACAGTTAAATATGTCGTCATAAATACCATGCTGATTGTTTTCCGAACTTGCCTAACGGCAGGGCACGTTCGGTCATACAATTTTCGGACAGAAAAGGTAAAAAAAAAAAAAAAAGGTCTTCAAAAACGGACGTGTTTGCACCTTTGTTATTATTTTCTGAACACAGTTTCTCATACAAATGGTGTCTAGCTAGTCTACAATATTACAAGGTGATTAATGAGCTTAACCAGTGATTAGCGCGATTTTTATTTTATTTTTAGATAGAAAACATCCATTAGGGTATAATCACATACACAATTATTGGTTTTTTTTACTGGTATATTGACCAAATTATTAAAGGTTGAAAAATGTCGTTAAACATTTATCACCTTTTGAACGACTGAACCAGGGACAGTATATTCACTATACGTCCCTGACTGAACCCAGAATGGCTCTAATACGTCTGCTAACGTTGACAGTAGGATGAAAGTCAGTGAAAGCACGGAATTAGATTAGGTTATCTAAGTCCGTGGTGAAAGTAATAAGTAATGAGATATTATAATTTAGAATTTTGGATGTCAGATTTAAGATCCTAAGTTTCAAATTAGGAAATATAATACAATAAACGTATAATATATGCAGCCATATTCTAAGGAATCTCCCGCAGTTTAACAACCCGCGTCATAGGTCATACAAATATGGAAACGAGGCTCATCGTGACGTCAAACTACGCCAATGTCCTACACACAACTAAGATGGAGGCTTATCGTACGGGGGACACACGAGGGGGCCAGAAAACAACGTAGATCTGTCTGAAAGTGTGAGTGTTCATACAACGTTGTGTCGATCAAAGAACATTGTCATGCAATCGTTAGCTCTTTGCGGACGTCTTTTCTCCCGAGCGTTTGTGACAAGTCTTGGACTAAACCCCGAACGTCAGATTAAATCGAGAAAGGATTTTCACCTTGTGACAGGGTGTGCAGGATTTTCGAAGTCCCTAACAAAGACACAGGGACCAAAACAGTGGACTTATGGGGACGACGCTTATTTCATTACCAGACATAAGGTAGCGGATGTCATAGGTAAGAAATATTTAGAAATACAGAGGTATCTCGTGAGGCTCCCAAAACACACGTGATACACTGATGGGGTTTGTTATTGTTATTTATCAATGACTCCGTAGAGGTCACGTTTTGGGGAAGCACATCCTGTTCGTATATATTTGTGGTACGTATAAGACTGGTTGGGCACAATGCAAGTCATCAGTATTCTGCGCTGTGCCAACGTCACAGCAGCAATCGTCTGCTTTGGCATTGTAGGGTCTTATCGGAAACGTCAGCATAAGGTGATCCCATATTAAATATTGATATATTTTACTTTCATTTTCATACAACGATACTCAACGTTACACTGATAGAATGACAAAGTATGTAATTAAAATAAGCTGTGCCGGTCTTATTGAACAAAATCTTCTTCATCATATTCCTTTACCATATTTGCTAACTCTCCCTATTTTGGAGGGAGACCCCCGAGTTTGGACCATAACATTGAGCATTTTCATCTGAAAGAACAGCTAAAATGTGTCATTTAGTAGGTTTATTTCCCACTAAGGTAATATACTTTCATAAAAAAGCACCCCTAGTATTTATTTTATAGCTTGAGTAACAGGGTAACAGTTACGTTTATCTCGGCACAGACATTGTAAATCTAGGACATACAGTACTGTTCATGTTATCTCCAAAGTTCAAATTACATGTCACAAAGATGTTCTTAAAATCAAAGTTTTAGGTCCTTTAAACACAGAGTAGATCTACTGACTGTTTTAAATTAAAAATTAAGTTATTTCAAAATGTCGTCTTCAAGCTTCTAAGATACTCTTAAAATACCAGTAATTTTGTCAGGATTTGACCAGGTTTTAGAAATGTGCAAGTCATTTAATATAGATCTAGAGCACAGGTGCTGGACATGCTAATATGATGATGTGTTATATAAGTTATATACTACTATATAATATACACATCAATCAGTGTGTCCAGCACATGCACCTCACCGTCACCTGTATTATAGAGGACATGTACTTGTGTATGTATACAGATAATTCGACAGCTGTTATATCAATATGCTAAAACATTGGTGATCCTGACTGCATGTCAAACGAAAGGGTCAGATATCACTTGCATAAAGGTTAAATGTGAAAGTTCGGCCATTTCCATCCCAATTTACAAATCATACACATCAATGAAGACGGCTTGCTACTTACTGATTTACCTAACAACAGAAATATATATGTATGACCTATTAATGTACAACATCTGACTACCAAATCTTGTGACTTTTATTCCTGAAACTGATATCTAATTCTTCGAAATGATTTATTGCAACCAAGGGCACAGGACAATCACTATTATCAGTATATATATACAAAATGGAGAAAACTCTGAACTGCCATGTCAGTGATATTTCTTCGTCTTTTTGACAGGGGCCTGTGCCTTTGAGGGAAAAACACACCCTAGTACTAAAAGCATGATTTTTGGAAAATCAACTGTTTTTTGCAATGATCTAGGATTGGGAAAATAATCAAAAATATAGCATGATATATCTAAGGGAAGGGCCTATATAAAGCCCCAGAATGCAAGACCACCGCAAAATAATCACTGGTTGTGGATAATTTAATTTAATAAATTCATCCAACCATGAACCACACAAAATGGATCTTGAATATAAATCATATAGTATTATATACCTGGTAGATATTTCATACAACTCCTCATTTGTATTCCCTGCAGCAAGTATTGCCTTTTCTATCCTTAGTTCATCTACTCTTTCGATTCCACATCTTGCTTGAACTTTGCGTAAATATCTGTTATTGGAATAGTAGGTCGTAAATTTCATATGTGGATGGACTCACTGAAGTGAATATAGCTCTTGAGAATATTTTCCACTACACGGAATTTGATAATGTTCACTTTGCATTCGCCATTTAGCTGCATTTCTTTGATTTAGACTTTAAAATTTAGCTCAATTTCTATCAAAGTGAGAGTAGTAGCATTTGTATGTTAGCATTTGTATGTTTTACAAATATTTTGTTGTTAAAATAATTTCTTCATAAAAATCATAAATTTCCTTTGTGCAAATTCGCTTTCCTAAGATTTAAAAATCAAACTGATTAATTGTTAATTTCTTGTACATGTGCTGTTGCTGATAACAAAGTCATCAATTTCTAATTTTAACCGAATAATATTAATGAATTCATGATCACAATTTGACTTTAGTGACATAGAACGTTTAGTTTGTAACTGAGGGGTTAAGTAAGAACTACCTCCTTCCCTACTAGATAACCCTTTGAATGAACTACTTACAGTATTTGCAGATTTTAGTATTGGTATAAATATATATGGTATAGATTTTCAATCTCAATTTTTTTCAATATTCTCAAAAAAAGTGATGGACTGATCATGGATTACAAATTCCATTATCAATACAATCTGTTCTTCATTAAAATCAAAGTGTTAAATGTTTTCAATGTAAAAAATGAATTGAAAGTCATATATTCCTATGATTTTACCATATGACTGATAAAACTACCTAACAATTGCTTGAAATCCAGTCATTATAAAAGAACAAAACCTTTATGTATAGTGAACAACTCTGTCTATTGATGTACATGTTATGGTAGTGTATAGCGAACAACTCTGTCTATTGATGTTATAGTAGTGTATAGTGAACAACTCTGTCTATTGATGTTATAGCAGTGTATAGTGAACAACTCTGTCTATTGATGTTGTAGTAGTGTATAGTGAACAACTCTGTCTATTGATGTAAATGTTATGGTAGTGTATAGCGAACAACTCTGTCCATTGATGTTATAGTAGTGTATAGTGAACAACTCTGTCTATTGATGTTATAGTAATGTATAGTGAACAACTCTGTCTATTGATGTACATGTTATGGTAGTGTATAGTGAACAACTCTGTCTATTGATGTAATAGTAATGTATAGTGAACAACTCTGTCTATTGATGTTATAGTAGTGTATAGTGAACAACTCTGTCTATTGATCTTATAGTAGTGTATAGGTAACAACTCTGTCTATTGATGTTATAGTAGTGTATAGTGAACAACTCTGTCTATTGATGTTATAGTAGTGTATAGTGAACCACTCTGTCTATTGATGTTATAGTAGTGTATAGTGAACATCTGTCCATTGATGTTATAGTAGAGTATAGTGAACAACTCTGTCTATTGATGTACATGTTATGGTAGTGTATAGTGAACAACTCTGTCTATTGATCTTATAGTAGTGTATAGGTAGCAACTCTGTCTATTGATGTTATAGTAGTGTATAGTTAACACCTCTGTCTATTGATGTTATAGTAGTGTATAGGTAACAACTCTGTCTATTGATGTTATAGTAGTGTATAGTGAACATCTGTCCATTGATGTTATAGTAGTGTATAGTGAACAGCTCTGTCTATTGATGTTATAGTAGTGTATAGGTGACAACTCTGTCTATTGATGTAACAGTAGTGTATAGTGAACAACTCTGTCTATTGATGTTATAGTAGTGTATAGTGAACACCTCTGTCTATTGATGTTATAGTAGTGTATAGTGAACAACTCTGTCTATTCATGTTATAGTAGTGTATAGTGAACATCTGTCCATTGATGTTATAGTAGTGTATAGTGAACGGCTCTGTCTATTGATGTTATAGTAGTGTATAGTGAACAACTCTGTCTATTGATGTTATGGTAGTGTATAGTGAAGTTTTCAGTAAAATTTTGAAAATTGACAATTCGGGTTACTGCAACTCTATTTTTGATTCCGAGGCTCCTGCCCCTATGACAATTCCCATAGTAAAAACAAGAGGTGAGCTAAAAACCTGTTGTCTTGTTTTCCATTTGAGCTTAAATGTGTGATTTTTGCTTATTATCAGGTACCGGTATATGTAATGGTGCTATATTTTATTTTTACAAAAACCAGAGCCTATAAGTATAAAACAAAAAGAATCTGTGTCAGACTCAAAATTCTAATTACTACATGATAGTATTCCTAGTTACTGTTAGCTATAACATATACTGGAGATATTTTTCAGGAAAACTTTTTAAGTGCTATTATATTTGTACATAGGGTTGATATTGTACCTGTTAAAGGCTCATTCCTTATGCAATAAAAAATATGTTGATCACCTTTTTGTACGCATAATTATATTTATTGTGTGATGGATTACGGGACTTAGCTCTAAGCTGAAGTCACTAAGATTAGGAGTTCACGGTCCAGAGCAATTCAATACATACATATGTAGTTTATAATTACATGTCTCTGTCGGTGGCCATACATCGTTAAATACCGACCTGGGTCCTTGCCAAGAAGTCTATATATATATATATTGGTAGGATGTGAGTGACCACAGCTAACCTTGATTTTCCTTTATATAATATTAATAATGTTTTTAAATGTTAGAAACTATATTTGGGTCCTATGTCGGAGTAAAAAAGCCAACAAAATTGTTTTTGTGGTATCATGTTATAATAAAAAAAACACTAAAATGTAAATCTATTATATATATAATAAGTGCTAACATTTCCTTGTTTTTCTTCAATAGGCACTCCAACAATTTTTACATTCTTATATATATATGCATTACATGTCCTTATCTTGGTGCATTGGTGGGCCATTAAACAGATAATGTGAGATGGAATGGGATCTTCATTCGATCAATGTTTCCTTGTCTTTGTGTTCTATATATATAGCAAGGTATACATGTGGGACTAGGTATGATACCACCTTATATTTTTCTAAAGTTTTTTCATACAAAAAAATCCTGTTAAGTATTTGATGTTAGTTTCCAATGTATGTGCTCCTAATTAAATAATTCCCTGTTGGTATACTAGCTTAAATCTCCTCTGCTCTGACTTAGATACTTTGATTTTAGGTGTGGCCGACGGTGTAGGGGGATGGAGGAACTATGGAGTAGACCCATCCACCTTTCCCACAGCCTTGATGAAGATGTGTGAACGCTTGGTCAAAGAGGGAAAATTCAATCCCAGGACACCAGCAAAAATCATACAGGCCAGCTATGATGAAATGCAGCAACAGAAATTACCCTTGATTGGTAATATAAGATATGTCTGTTGGAAAATATCTTGTGCGTGCAACTCCTATACAGTAAATCTGATAACCAAATTTTAACAAATCTTAAAAAAAATTAATTGCATCATCTGTACATCATGTGGGTGCACATATGATATTTATATTTCAGTTTCAAATGTTTTTAAAAAAAGCGTTATTGCCTATTTTGAACTTTATATATGCCTATCAAAGTTTATTGTATACAGAATTCATATTTACTAAGAAATAGGAGTGACATCATATTTTATAATAAATTATACTACCTACAACTATCACATACATACTTAAAGATCCAACTAATTGTGTATACATGATTATGTTAAATTATGACATTAATCAGATAGATTCAATCACATTATCATCTGATGCATATCATTTGATGCCTATGACAGAGATCTAGAACAAGGCAGTCTATTATATGTACTCAAATCATGTGCGTTGAACCATGTAATAGTGAATACAATAGAGATACCAGTCTTATCCTAGTAAGCATGCAGACATTATAAGTAATTGAAAAATGATTTATGATATTATAGGATAACATGATATCATATCATATTTACAACAAAAGATAGCTAAGGTAACGATTAAATTCATAATTGAAATTCCATGATCAAGTTTTTTTCATATATGGCTGCATATCCGAAAGCTACCATATGCATGTGAACCGCATAGCCACAGGGCTTAGTGTTAATTTTGCAAACTAGCCAAAGTCTATAACTAGCATACATGTATAAGAGCAGTCAGATGTGAGCATTTTATGTAAGTGAATATTATTGAAATTTTAATTTTGAGGTTTGATAACCTTGTGTCTATTGGTCAGTGATAGATTCAACAGTTGTTATGTCAGTGTTTTGTCTTTAACCTGTTTAGACTCAGGATCTAGCCTTGCAAGTTTATAATTTACTACCGCTTTATATACAGTATACCATCGCATTACCACATAGATTAGATAGTTTTACTGGAGACACCCCATTACATAGACAACAAGTCTAATGATGTCTTCACTAGGATTTCTATCATTGGTTTGATACTTTGGTGATTCTTTTATTATTAGTATATGATTCTCTCGTGATTCTTAACTGGCTTTGTCAGCTGAAAGTCCAGAGGTTGAAAAATAGGTTCATTTTGAGGCGAGACTTTAGTTGATTCCTGAGAACCTGTTGTGGGTGAATGATTGGTATTATCAGACACATGCTGTGTCATGATCAGCAATCTGTCACAAAGCAACTTGTATTCATCTGTAACAAACCTTGATTTACTCAGAATTTTCCGCAAGGGATTATAACCTAATTAGGTCAAACCTTATGCTGTTGAAGTGTTCTAACAAGGACTTAAAACAGTCATCATATAGCTGTGTGTAAATTACATGACTGTGTACCTACACAGTGTTCATATATGGCTATAAGCTAACGGCTACTGAGTACAGACAATCACATAAGAGACTAAAAGAGAGCCAGATGTGTCCATGAATAACGGATCAATTAAACTTTGGTAATTCTTATCAACAATGTACTTAATAAAATAAGCAATGAACTTGATTGTGTAAATATATACACCATCATACTGCCTCCAGCACACACACATACATTACATTCATGAAGACATGTCCTTAAATGACCTTAACTAGTCTGTCCTCATATGACCTTGGCATTGTTGCGAGGCCATTACACCGGATACAAACAAAACCTGAATTACCTGTTAATATGCTAAATCCCATCAAATCAAAGAAAGTGAACTAATGATACTATAGGCAGTGAATTGGGTACAGAACACACCATATTGTTGGCAATACTCACAAACTACTAGCTACTGTGCTTGATACTGCAAGCAGTGAACTCCATACTGTAGGCAGTGTATTCCATACTGTAGGCAGTGTACTCCATACTATAGGCAGTGTACTCAATACTGTAGGCAGTGTACTCCATACTGTAGGCAGTGTACTCCATACTGTAGGCAGTGTACTCCATACTGTAGGCAGTGTACTCCATACTGTAGGCAGTGTACTCCATACTGTAGGCAGTGTACTCCATACTGTAGGCAGTGTACTCCATACTGTAGGCAGTGTACTCCATACTGTAGGCAGTGTACTCCATACTGTAGGCAGTGTACTCCATACTGTAGGCAGTGTACTCCATACTGTAGGCAGTGTACTCCATACTGTAGGCAGTGTACTCCATACTTCAAGCAGTGTATACATACTCCATACTGTAGACATTGTACTCCATACTGTATACAGTGAATGTCATACTGTAGGCAGTGAACTCCATACTGTAGGCAGTGTACCCCATACTGGAGGCAGTGTATACATACTCCATACTGTAGGCAGTGTATACATACCTTGTAACTACTATATTTGGTAGTTATTAACTAAATTTAATAAATGAATATTTAATTCTGTTTCTTTTGTACAGGCAGCAGCACTGCATGTGTGGTGTCACTACACAGAGAGGACAATACCTTATACACAGCCAATCTGGGCGACAGCGGCTTTCTTATCATCCGTGACAGTGAGGTGATTCACCGCTCAGTAGAGCAGCAACACTACTTCAACACTCCATTCCAACTGGCAGTGGTTCCCCAAAGTCAGGAGGGTCAGGTTCTCAGTGACAGGTAAGTCAGGAGGGTCGGGTTCTCAGTGACAGGTAGTCAGGAGGGTCAGGTTCTCAGTGGCAGGTAAGTCAGGAGGGTCAGGTTATCAGTGACAGGGAGTCAGGAGGGTCAGGTTCTCAGCGACAGGTAAGTCAGGAGGTCCAGGTTCTCAGTGATAGGTAAGTCAGGGGGGTCAGGTTCTCAGTGACAGGTTAGTCAGGAGGGACAGGTATTCTTAAGGACAGGCAGTGGTTCCCCTAAGTCAGGAGGGTCAGGTTCTCGGTGACAGGTAAGTCAGGAGAGTCAGGTATACTTAAGGACAGGCGGTGGTTCCCCAAAGTCAGGAGGGTGAGGTTCTCGGTGATAGGTGGGTGAGGAGGGTCAGGTTCTCAGTGACAAGTAAGTCAGGAGCGTCAGGTATACTTAAGGACAGGCGGTGGTTCCCCAAAGTCAGGAGGGTGAGGTTCTCGGTGATAGGTGGGTGAGGAGGGTCAGGTTCTCAGTGACGGGTAAGTCAGGAGGGTCAGGTTCTCGGTGACAGGTAAGTCAGGAGGGTCGGGTTCTCAGTGATAGGTAAGTCAGGAGATTTTGTTTCTAAGTTACAGGGACGACAGGAGGGTCAGGTTTTCAGTGATAGGTAAGTCAGGAGAGTCAGGTTCTCAGTGAAAGGTAAGTCAGGAGGGTCAGGTTGTCAGTGACAGGTAGTCAGGAGGGGCAGGTTCTCAGTGACAGGTAAGTCAGGAGAGTCAGGTATACTTAAGGACAGGCGGTGGTTCCCCAAAGTCAGGAGGGTGAGGTTCTCGGTGACAGGTAAGTCAGGAGGGTCGGGTATACTTAAGGACAGGCAGTGGTTCCCCAAAGTCAGGAGGGTCAGGTTCTCGGTGACAGGTAAGTCAGGAGGGTCAGGTTCTCAGTGACAGGTAGTCAGGAGGGTCAGGAAAACTTAAGGACAGGCAGTGGTTCCCCAAAGTCAGGAGGGTTGAGTTCTCAGTGACAGGTAAGTCAGAAGGCCTAGGGCCAGGTACTAATTAAGCGGCTCCCCAAAGTCAGGAGGGTGGATTACACAGTGGAATGCATATCTAAATTATACTGTGTAAGGGCTCCCCAGAGTCAGTGGGGTCAGGTACTCCTCAATAGGTAAGTCTGTGGGGTCAGGTACTCGGCAATAGGTAAGTCAGTGGGGTCAGGTACTCAGTGATAGGTTAGTCAGTGGGGTCAGGTACTCAGTGATAGGTGAGTCAGTGGGGTCAGGTACTCAGTGATAGGTAAGTCAGCGGGATCAGGTACTCAGTTTATTTAAATATATATTATAAGGATTCCCAAAGTTCAGATGGATCAGGTACTCATGATCAATGTCAGGTACATCAACGTTATATAAGGCACCCATACAAATGTGTGCAATGTTTGAAATAAACAATAGCCTTGGGTAATCATTAGCATTTGAACTTGTACATATTGGTATCAAATATATAGAATTGGGCAATAGAACAATGAAAAATTAACTCAATATTCCTGTCTTAATTAGTTTGTCAAATCTTTGTTAAAATCAATACTTGTATTTTGTTTGGCATTACTTGTAGTTGGTAATTGTTGCTGTTTTACTATTTGACAGTCCTGCCATGGCGGATAGCACGTCCTTTAAAGTGGAGGAAGGCGACATCCTCCTCCTCGGCACGGACGGCCTTTTTGACAACATGTGTGAAGACATGATAATGGATCACATCTCTAAACTCAAGGTACTTTGCTGGGGATATACCAAGTCATATTGATGTTAGGGGTATTCTGAAACAAATCTGTGCTGTGGAGATAAAACTAACCAATGTTTACTGGATTACTTTAAGTACATATTACCTGGTACATGTACTCGTTACAAAATTTGGGATCATAACAAAGCTGATCTTTTTGTAAGTGTTATATGATGAATTTTGTGTATGTGATACAATAAATATCAACAATACTAAAAAAAAATACATTAGTAATGCCTAGTTTAAAACCTTAATAGCCATAACAAGATCACTTTGTGAATTAAATCTGAATCCAAATATTTTGCCCTTGATAGGACCATCGAGCAGATATACAGAAAACAGCCAACAACATGGCAGAGGATGCACTTTCGCTCTCCCTAGACCAAGACTACTTATCTCCGTTCTCCTTATCCGCCATTGATGCTGGAATCGATCTCAAAGGTGAGTTACTGCTTCCTCTATTTCAGAAAGTTTCCGTTTCGTGTTTGCAATGATTAAAAGTAAGGAATATAATAACTATAGGTGGTCAGGATGCCACTGGTAAAATGATATTGTCTGGGTGTTTGAGCCTCAAATAGGTATTAACATTGGTATATTTGATTTGGGGGGAGGGGTTGTTTGGTAGCAGTGGTGATAGGTGGTCACGAAACAATTGCTTTGCCCATTGTTTTTAATGTTAAAAATATGCAACACAGAATCTTACATAGTTAATAATTATAATGTGTAGTAACTGTTGCATTTAATAATGTTATGAATGTGCATTTTATTCTTTCTATACAACACTGAAAAAATAATGGGGTTTTTTGCTCAATTTTTTTCTTTTATTACAGCAAACCAAATAATTAACAGCTTTTTTGGATGGATGGTCTCTGAGAGACACAAATGTTCAATTATTGGAATATACTCTGGTGTCTTTGTCTTTGCATGAAATCAAAACTAAGTGATAATATTTTAGGTAAGCATGTTTAATTGTTGTACCCAATATCTGAATGACTTTCTGTTGTGTTCTACAGGAGGCAAACCTGACGATATAACAGTGATCCTAGCCAGAGTCGCAGTGTTAGACACATAACATCAAGTGATATTATAGACACGAGAATCTTACCTGCAATCTCCAAGTCATTGAGGTAGCAACGCATACCTCTACCGGTACAATGTATACTCCAAGCTGTTAGGAATGGATGTGAAAAACCTATAGAATTTGTTTAGAAAAGGAGCATTTTCATTGAAAATTGTTAGAATTACAGTATAGAAGTTTTCAGTAAAGTCTTTGTAGTTTAATGGTGGTGATGATAATGTTTTGTCAGTTCTGTCAAATGTTACTGTAATCCTATTATTGTAGACTTTTCCCAAGTTAATGAAATTATACTGGAATGATACAGATACTGAAATTATACTGGAATAATACAGATACTGAAATTGTACTGGAATAATACAGATACTGAAATTATACCCGAATGATAAGGATACAGAAATTTTAATGGAATAATAACAATACAAGTTTTACTGGAATAATAACAATACAAATTTTACTGGAATAATAATGATGCTCCAGGTTTGAGAGAGAGAGAGAGTCTTGAGACTACAAACTCGTTGCCATTTTAAAGTCCTCTTCTTTGTAAAACTGATATAAAGTATTTGATGACAATGTCTTATGTACTATAAATCATCTTGTGATATTTGTAAATATGTTTTAGTTGTATGATCATACTGTTATTGTTATGCAGGACATGCTTAAAACTTTGATTATTATGTTAGACAAATCTGTAGTAGCTTGTGTAAAGTGATGACTGGGAAATGCCTGTACTTGGCCACTGGGAAATGCCTGTACTTGGCCACTGGGAAATGCCTGTACTTGGCCACTTACATTGACCTTGTTGCATTTATAAAAAAAGGACTGACCTAGTTGTCTGATGTTGTTTTTCTGGTGAGTCTTGGTAAACACTGTCAAGGTCTACATTTATATTTTCTGCTGGGCCTAGCACCTGGTAATGTTACGTTTAAAATAGGGTGGTCATTCTATGTAAACAAAAAAGCTCCTTCATGTAGTCTGATAAACTTCCCACATACCTGTATATACAATAGGAATGTTGTCAGAAAACAAGGAATAATGATATGGATTGTAAAGACATATTATAAATTTAGAAAGTTCAGATATTATTATTGAGTTGCAGTCCAGTCAAAGAACATGTTTTAAAGTGAAATTCTAAGCCCTTCTCTCACTTTTTTGTCAAAAGAATTCAGAGCCCCTCCCCTAGGAGGAGTTCTGTGTTACAATATAAGATCACTTTCAGAAGCAGTTAAATCATGCTTTTGAATATAGAAATTTATATTTATAGATTCACTGTACTACATTGTAATGATAATTATGTTTCCTTCTGGGATGAAAACAAGACTAACAGAGATCTGAGAGGTGTGCAAATTACCAAATGAAAACTGCTAGCTATACAAATGAGTCTTTCATAGAGGAATTTATAACATTAACATATTGATTAGACTTGTCACCTAAAGCTACCAAAATATTAACAAAGATACCTCAGTTTTGTTTCTTAGCTGCAGCAATGAGCATCTTGATGTGAGAGATTTGGATTGGACTTTGTTGATTTGTGCTAGTGTGTTACAAAACATTTGTTTATGAATTTCTTTGTTCGCCTCTGTTTTGTTTTGTATAGATCATTATATGGTGTAAGAAGAAATTATTCAACCATTACTGAAAAACAGGAGAAACAGACAAGATTTATGTAATTGCTTCTGTTGATTCATGTCTCTCTACTGGTGATTGTGAAATTGTGTAAGAAAATAAGACATCGTACTGTCTTGTGATAGAATGGATTACCAATATCTATAATCCTATAGTTTTCTGATGAGGAGTAACATGAGAATAGATTTACCAATATCTATAATCCTATAGTTTTCTGATGAGGAGTAACAGGAGAATGGATTTACATGTACCTATATCTATAATCCTATAGTTTTCTGAAGGACTAACAGGTGATATTTGTAAATTCCAACCTTACTGGTTCCATCATCAAAATGAAAGACTGAATAGCGAAGTTCTAGATTTTACGTTCAGCTGTATATCATAATTATGTAGGCTCCACTGACCAAATCATGTGCATTTCCAAAAACCATATTCATGTTTTAATACAGGGTTACATAGCTGTATGAATGCGACCCCAAACATAAAAAAATATATTAAAAAGATGATATATCCTATATACATTGAAGGCACGTTAGTCTAGTGGTAGGACGCCCGGCTCGTGACCGAAGGGTTGCGGGTTCGTGTCACGGCAGGCTCTGTGTTGTATCTTTAAGCAATATACTTGACTCTGCTTGTTCTAGTCTACTCAGCTGTAAATGAGTATGTGGTTGGTCAGTGCTAGAATTGTTGAATGCTAGCTGTAAGCGCCGAAATGGCAGCTCTGGCTGTATGCTCCCCAAGGAGTTGAGAAAGATACTGGCTGGTTGCAAAGGCCCTATAACCACGGATAATAATTTGTGAACCGCTTTGAAACAACCTACGAACGAGGTTGTGATAGAGCGGTAACTCAAATTATTATTATTATTATTATTAAGGCTAGCAAACAAAGACTCTGAATAAGAAAATTCTATATTGCTTTTTTCTCATATAAAACAAACTTGTTTTGGTGGCTGTTAGTTTTGTTTTTTACGTATTATATTACCTACACATCTTTATTCTACCAAAATGGGAAAATAATTGTGTTTGGTGTTATGTCTCCATCGCAACACTTAGGATTTCTTCCTTTTTCTTTTCTCTTCTGCTTACTCTCTCTTTTTCGAGGTGTCAACCTAAACACCCATCTTCATGTTTCATCCCCCACCCATTTTTTTTTTAAAATGTAAATATTAAATTTATAATTCTGTAAAATAAAACACATTTAATGTGCGTGTATATTAATTTGAATTCACTTTTTGTTTTGTTTTACACTGTTGTAGTAATATGGAAAAATCAGACAGTTGTAGGACGGGGATATGTGAAGTATTTGGACTAAGTTTCCGTATTAGTACACTACTTTTGATATAATTGGAAGTTATACACTGATATACATGCACTTTTGTTGTTGTCAATGTATAAGTATAGAAAAATACCACTAATATAACTGAGTTTACCATTAATATTTAAATACACCGTATAATTAGTGATATTGTATTATAACAAGCACAGATTTATATGATGTATTGATTTTGATGTCTACAATTATGGCACTGCATGAAGTGATCATGTTAATTTGTACCACCAGTATGTAAAGTATAAAGTTGATATAGGAATATTAGACTTAGCACAGGCAGTACTTAACTTTGTATGTCGAAGGCTCGGCAAAATACACATATATAGATAAAGTATATATATATTACAATGCTGAAGAATTTCATTACCGGTAAATGTTTGACGTGTAGTTTAAAATATCTCTACTTTTTCCAAATGTGCTAAAGCTTTAATCAAGAAATCCAAAAGCTATCAGATGCAGTCACATATACAAATTAAATCCTGTGTGATCTGTACCAATAGAAAACTGTACAATACCTTGTATATCTTTTTCAAAAGTGAATCTAGTCAAAACACATCAACAACTATACATCTATATTTTAAGTGAATTTTGTGAAAACTATTCTCAATCCATTAGTTACGTTTAAGTAATTGTGTGGCCCTGTTTTATAATGCTCTACAAGAACTAAACCTTTAAGTCACCTCTATAATAGACTGTCTTGTGTGACTTTTCAACCTTCTCTCAAGAGATCATATATGAAAAGTCTTTACTTTGATTTTTTTTATAATGCAGAAATTAAAAATGTTGTCAGTTGCAAGCATTCAGATGTTTTGAGCTTTGCTTGCATAATTAACTTGACAATGGTACATGTGTATGATGTAAAAATTGATCACACTGGTACAGATGAGAAAACAGGGTGATGTATGTGTTCATCGAAAACAAATCTTATAAATGTTTGTTTTTTTCCTGTTGTTACTATGGTTATGACTGTATGTAGTGTAGTACTTACTGTTTATTTTTTATGTTCCGTGTGGCAAGTGTTTACTATATATTCATTTACCATATTACCATTATAATTATGAAATATGCAAGTTCATTTATAGTTACACCAATTACATAGAGTTCAATCTTCTTGTGATTTTTGTTGCAAATATAAGAATTTGAATATTTTTATAGACACCAGATCTCATTGTTAACATAAGAGGAAGAAACAAATACAAATCTGCATGTGATTGTGTGGTATATATTGTGATAGATTGTAGGTGTATATGGCTCATTTAATCAGATAAATGATGGTAAGAGATATCCTAAAACAGGCTGAAAGTCCAAGGTATTCAGAAAATTGTTTCTTAACAAAATTTGATATATCAATACTAAGGTATGCCTAAGTTTCACTAGACAGAAAATGTTAAAAGTAAAATTTCAAATACTATTTGTATGATCAATATGGTATGAAATAATAAGTATTGTTGGTCAACAAGTTAATAACAAATTACACCTTGATAAATACAGTTCCACAAAAATGCCTGTGTGCATTGTGCATTAGGGGTGTGATATTGCAGAAGTTCAGCAATATTCTAAATTTTTATTCAGCACTGTTTATGATAAAAAAAAAAAAAATGAACATTTTCTGATTGTTTGAAGCTGTAGTGTGATTGAGTAGTGGTAGTAGTATCGTGTAACTTGTATATTTTATGGTAAAGAACTAGAGCATAAAGGGGTGTTTATTATATGTTTTATGGTAAAGAACTAGAGCATAAAGGGGTGTTTATTAAAGTAGTTACGTGTAACTTGTATGAAGGAGTGTTTATCATGTTAACAGCATGTTGGTTTGAATACATATGTACATAGTCTGTGATTGTGAGGATAAATGTGGATAAAAACAATATAATTTGTATTATTGTTTAGGTAATGTCTTGAGACTTCATTTGTCTATAAAACCTTAATCTTGAAAATTCATGTCAGCAGATTTTATTTAGCTAAAGTACTGAAGTACTTCATCTAGTTTTCATCCAAACATGCAGGTTGAGTCAGTGAATATGGGACATTTCACTCAGGGTAAAATAACCATTAATGGAACTTTCGAGGGTTGCTTTTTGTGTTAAGTAATATTATACACAAACTCATACGAAAGTGTTTTTTTTTTAGAATTTTCTTAATAATTATTCTCATTTCCATATTTTCTCCAAGGTGGGAAATTAAAGACTGTCTGCTATCAGAAATTTAAAAATGTGCTATATCACCATACATGTATATCTAAAATGGTAACATATTATCATAATTCAAGGTTTTATGCTACCTGTAATAATACAAAACACATGATCAATGCAACTTCGATTTCACACTCGGCTCTTGACATGTTGACTATACATACTTAGCTTGACGAGTAAAAGTAAATAAACATGCATGTATTGAAGGTTCAAGAGCTATATATCCCTATAACATGATACTTTTATCAGACTTCTGAAAATTTGTCAGAAGTAGGACCACAATCAACAAAATGTGTTGTTTTTCTGTTAAGTGTTTCTTCTAGTCATAGCGACCCAAACGACCCAAAAAATAAAAATTTCAACTACATGTATGGGTGCTTTTACTAGCAGGACATCTCATTGACCTGTGGCCATGCATATGCTTCTGTAGATTAATTTACACTTGATATGAAACCATGGCATCATATTGTCAACCAAAGTCAGCTTAATTGTACTCATACTTTAACATTCCCTAAAATAGTAAATATAAAAAATGGATTAGGTTTCTGTCGTGTTTATGCTATAAGTTATGTTGTGACTTGCATATGCATGTGCTAAATACAATGACCACTTTTACCAGCGTGACATCTATAGCACTAGTGAAATTAATTAGTCTGTCTGCAAGTTAAATGTATTTAAAAAAATAATATCTAAAAGTAATCTGAGTATTTTGAACCAATAACATTAAATATCAGTTATCACTGTCAGTACATCGATAGATGTAATGTGTATCTGTAGTAACCATTAATGTTGCCCCGTCTGACATCACTAATTGGACGGTGGTCATGATAATCTGGTAGGATATGTTACCTGGACTACTGTCCTGATAAGTGTCATGTCAGTTACTCGTATAAGTGCTATTCCAGATACTTTACAAATCTATAGAGGGCAGGGCTGCACTTTTATGTGACTCCCTACCACCCCTGTGTTATGAGTGCCTCCCAGCCCCCATGTCTAAATGATATAGAGAATCTTTATGTTCCTATTACTTGTGAGTTTTTCAGCTTGTTTAATGAAATTTAAATGTAATGGTAACAAGTTTTTAAGATTTTTCTTTTTTCTAAACTGAGCTAAAACTTGTTCCATGGCACATTTTGTGAGAAATTTTAGCAGCAAAATCAAAGGAAAAATACACCACCCAGTTTTGCCATGAATTACTTATGTTGTCATAATGTTCGTTTTGACATCACAATGGGTAATAAAACGCATATTAAAAAGTGAAAAATGTTTGTAATGGCGTAAAAACCTTGTATAGCAGTCTAGGTATAAGGTAAATTTATATCTGAAATAGCCTGAAACATTTTCATCCATTGAAACTAGGGTAAAAAGGTCAGGTGTATTTTTAAACAGTAGTTAAACGTTACTGGAGAGTACATGTGTAGAATGAATGTAACAAATGTTTTTGAAATCACATAAATGTGGAATGTTTGATAAAATAAAATTTGTAACATTAAAACTGAGTCTAATGTTGTTTGTTGTCTTTTAAGTAGACAGTATGATGGCACCTAAGTATTCACGAAGGTTGATTGGAACTGTTAAGCCACTGACAGATATACATGTACCGTCAGCTTCTCCATTAATTTGTAATAATAAAGGTGATTGCGGTTTGCAATAATATAAAGGGAATGGCAATGTGTGACTTTTTTTCACAAAAGTTTGCTAATGATTTTATAAGCTTTATTTTGGACATGCTTTTTTGTATAATGTGAAAGAAAGGAGTACATCTCCCATACCAGTAAATGATGTGTACCAAATTTGCACAGAAAGACCAGAAAGACCAAAAAGAAGATCAATGGCTTAAGTATGTACTGATCATAAATGGAAAATTTCATTCAAGTTCCATCTGAATTGGTGTGATAATTTAGGAGTTGTCTAGCTTATATTCAAAATGATAAAATACAAGAGGGCAGTAACAGCCATACTAATCAGATGGTCAGTGAAATCAGTTGGATAGTCTAAAAGGAGCAGTATTGAAAAATGTTGTGAATGAATGAAAGAAACAAGCTCATTCAAGTCTTATCCTCTGGAGAGGGTTACTGGTATAAGGTACATCTGGAGTGGGTTACTGGTATAAGGTACATCTGGAGAGGGTTACTGGTATAAGGTACCTCTGGAGTGGGTTACTGGTATAAGGTACCTCTGGAGTGGGTTACTGGTATAAGGTACCTCTGGAGAGGGTTACTGGTATAAGGTACATCTGGAGAGGGTTACTGGTATAAGGAACCTCTGGGGTGGGTGACTGGTATAAGGTACCTCTGGAGAGGGTTACTGGTATAAGGTACATCTGGAGTGGTTACTGGTATAAGGTACCTCTGGAGTGGGTTACTGGTATAAGGTACATCTGGAGAGGGTTACTGGTATAAGGTACCTCTGGAGTGGGTTACTGGTATAAGGTACATCTGGAGAGGGTTACTGGTATAAGGTACCTCTGGAGTGGGTTACTGGTATAAGGTACATCTGGAGAGGGTTACTGGTATAAGGTACCTCTGGAGTGGGTTACTGGTATAAGGTACATCTGGAGAGGGTTACTGGTATAAGGTACCTCTGGAGTGGGTTACTGGTATAAGGTACATCTGGAGAGGGTTACTGGTATAAGGTACCTCTGGAGTGGGTTACTGGTATAAGGTACATCTGGAGAGGGTTACTGGTATAAGGTACCTCTGGAGTGGGTTACTGGTATAAGGTACATCTGGAGAGGGTTACTGGTATAAGGTACCTCTCTGGAGTGGGTTACTGGTATAAGGTACATCTGGAGAGGGTTACTGGTATAAGGTACATCTGGAGAGGGTTACTGGTATAAGGTACCTCTCTGGAGTGGGTTACTGGTATAAGGTACATCTGGAGAGGGTTACCGGTATAAGGAACCTCTGGGGTGGGTGACTGGTATAAGGTACATCTGGAGTGGGTGACTGGTATAAGGTACCTCTGGGGTGGGTGACTGGTATAAGGTACCTCTGGAGTGGGTTTCCGGGAGACCTATCGGTCTCAAGTTCAAACCAAATTTTATGTTCTAATTGCCCGTATATGAAATTTGGTTTAAACTTGACCTTTCGGTCTCAAGTTCAAACCAAATTCCATGTTCTAATCGCCATTATAGCCACTCAAAACAACGTACTTTCCCCTAATACATATCTTCTCCACACCTTTGGAATAATGACAAAATCAAAGGTCTGAACGTGCAACCTTGCGGATAATCCAAGCATCTATTGGTTTGGTCCCTTCATGTATATCAAATGAATAATGTGGTAGCATAGCAGTAAAATCTACTGACTTTAAAGTCAGGTGTCCCTCTTCTTATCCTCAAAGGACAGGTATCAGGATCGGTCCGTTTTTTTATACTGCAACCTGTCAAATAGTTAACTGCTTGCCTTTAAATTTGTCATTACATATACCATGGTGTAAGGAGGAAGTGTCTATGGAGAGCAAAGCCCTTTGGTTTAGAAAATGGCCATATATGGCTACAATAGCTATTATACCAGCAATGTCTTTTGTCAAAACAAGTCAAAATTCACATAAAGATTGGTTCAAACAGAAATTGTCTGTTTTGAGTGAAATATTTTATGAGAAGTAAACGCATGGACAATAGGTGTCCAACTTGAAGTCATAGGACAATAATCTGTAAAACTGATTCCGTTACAGAATCTAGGACAACAATCAGTTTTACTGATTATTGTCCTATATTCTATAACGTAATCAGTTTTACAGATTATTGTACTATATTCTATAACGGACAATAATCAGTAAAGCTGATTCCGTTACAGAAACTAGGACAATAATCAGTAAAACGAGATTCCGTTATAGAATCTAGGACAATTATCTGTAAAACTGATTCCGTTATAGAATATAGGACAATAATCAGTAAAACTGATTCCGTTATAGAATCTAGGACAATTATCTGTAAAACTGATTCCGTTATAGAATATAGGACAATAATCAGTAAAACTGATTCCGTTACAGAATCTAGGACAATAATCTGTAAAACTGATTCCGTTACAGAATCTAGGACAATAATCTGTAAAACTGATTCCGTTACAGAATCTAGGACAAGAGCTGCATTATCCTCAGTGATCAAAGAGGCAACTATTCTGTATCAACATCGTATGATGTTAATTTCAGTGTGAAGTAATGTTGAATTACAAAAGAAGGATTCATGTTGGGTGTCAATATTTAGAATGAGTCCCATGCACACAACTTGCACTGTCTCACAAAATTTACAAAAATCTAAAATCTTTCATCTTAAAAACAAAATCATCTTTTTTGACAAAAATGTTTATTCTTTTTTTTTTCAACAAATAATCTTCAATACAAGATAACCCATTCCGTTTTGAGAAAATGGATACTAGGACAAATAATAATAAATAACAATGACATTTCAGTAAAAACATACATTAATATTCAACTTATAATAGCAGACATGATCTCAATATAACATACATTTTATGTAGCACTTGGTATGACATTCATCATTTTCTTTTGAATTATATCATTTAATGAGTCTTTTAAGAAATATTTTGAGCTATTCCTCTGGGAATATGTTGTACATGTCTGTACCTACTCCACCGTCTGCTTCTGTACATCAGCTTCATGAAACGGGTTAACAACAGTGCAATGTGGTAGTCTTTATATTAAGACACTTTTCTTCATTCTGATCGCCACTGAAATCCATACAGTATGTCTAAACATATATTTGCGGCCTTTCAAAGTTAAAATATATTGGTTAGCATCCCAGATTTTGCTTCAATTAGATTTTGTATGCACCAATACAACCCAGCTTATTAAAATTATATCAATATTGATGCCAGTCTAAGACATCCACACACATGTCAGTCATCGTCGTCAGTGTCTTCTGCCAGAACCGCACTGGTCTGGAGAACAGATTGAGACTGTGTGCTTGCTTGGGAACTACCGAAAAACAGGGACCGGAACTGTAAACAAACAAAAACCAATGTTAAAGGGAAGTGTGTTACCAGACATCAGTAACTGTATACAGTGTAACAAGAGGCCCAATGGGCCTGAATCGCTCACCTGGTATTAATCTCACAAATAATCTTTAAAGTGGACTAAAATACAGCTTCAGGCAGAATATCAGTGTTTGACTCATAAGAACCTATTAAAAGATTTAAACATATGACGCCTGTGACCTTGAATTTCGAACAAGAACATAAGGTTGAACAGAGTTTATAGTCGTCCAACCAAGCATGCTTCTGGCAAAATATCATTACCCTGGACCTTTTGGTTATACAGAACAAGTCATTTAAAGATTTAAACATATATTGACCACTGTGACCTTGCATATGGGTGAAGGTCATTCATTTGAAAAAAACTGGTAGTCCTTAATACCAGCATATTAATGGCCAAATATCATCACCCTTAGCCTTTTGCTTATTGAGAAGAGGTTATTTAAAGGTTTTAAACATATTTGACCCCTGTGACCTTTAATATATGTCGAGGTCATTCGTTTGAATAAGCTTGGTAGTCCTTCATCCTAGCATGCTACTGGCCAAACAGCATCATCCTAGGAATTTTTGGTTATTGAAAAGATGTTGTTTAAAGGTTTTAAACATATTTGACCTCTGTGACCTTGAATGACCGTCAAGGTCATTCATTTTAACAACCTTGATAGCGCTTCATCCCAGCATGCTACAGGCCAAATATTATAACCCTCAGCCTCTTGGTTATTGAGAAGAAGTAGTTTTAAAGGTTTTAAACATATTTGACCCCTGTGACCTTGAAAATGGATGAAGGTCATTTATTTGAACAAACTTGGTAGCCCTTCATTCCAGCATGCTAAAGGCCAAATATCATCACCCTAGGCCTCTTTGTTATTCAGAAGAAGTCGTTTAAAGATATTTCACATAATTGACCCTGTGACCTTGAAAATAGATGACGGTCATTCATTTGAACAAACTTGGTAGCTCTTCATCCCAGCATGTTACTGGCCAAATAGCATTATGCTTTCCCTTTTGGTTATTCAGAAGAAGTCGTTCAAAGATTTTAACATATTTGACCCATGTGACCTTGAAAATGGGTGACGGTCATTTGTTTAAACAAACTTGGTAGCTCTTCATCCCAGCATGTCACTGACAAAATATCATCGCCCTAGGCCTCTTGGTTCTTCAGAAGAAGTCGTTCAAAGATTTTAACATATTTGACCCCTGTGACCTTGAAAATGGATGAAGGTTATTTATTTGAACAAACTTGGTAGCCTTTGATTCCAGGATGCTACTGGCCAAATATCATCATCCTAGGCCTTTTGGTTACTAAAAAGAAGTTGTTTAAGTAAAAAGTTGACACCGGACAGATGGACGGACAACGGACGACGCACCATGGCATAAGCTCACTTGCCCTTTGGGCAGGTAAGCTAAATATACTCTACATAGAGGGTATCTGCTCATAGTCAGTATTATCTAATCTGTAACAGGAGAGGGAAAATGCAACAGGCCCAGACAGGAACTCAACCTGAGACCTGTGATCTGTAGAAGATACTCCAATTAATTCAGCTATTTGGTCTCCAGCAGTCACATCATCATAGTACCATCATAGTACCATCATAATACCATCATAGTACCATCATAGTACCAACATAATACCATCATAATACCATCATAGTACCAACATAGTACCAACATAATACCATCATAATACCATCATAGTACCATCATAGTACCATCATAGAACCATCATAATCATCTATGTTTGGTCAAATGCAGAGTTTTAATTAATCGAGAAGGTGATATTTCAGGTATAAGTTAGAAATTTTCAAAAAGTTGAGGACAATTTTTTTTAGGACTGAGTCTAAAAAGCTACAAAATACCAGATAATATTGCTTGTGTTTTCCTGGTTTTGCAAGTTATGGCTATCATCCAAATCATACACCATCAGATTGAGAATTTTTAGGACTAAACACATGCTTGTATAATTAAAGCATAGCAGCACTGTATACACCGGATGCTATACCTTTTTCCTGGGCGGTGTACCAGGCACAAGATCATCTTCCTCATCTTCCTCTTCATCTTCATTAACGGTAATATTCGGTGCACTTGTATCAAAAACCTAAAATAGACAATTTCAACAAGGTTAAAGAAGTAATGCAAAACAATATATCCCCTACGGTACTGACACAGTGTCACAAATTATACATGTCCCCAACCGTTACACATCTGGTAATTATACATGTCCCCAACCGTCACACATCTGGTAATTATGCATGTCCCTCACCATGATAGACCTAATGACCCTTGCACAACAGATTGTCTACTAATGATACAATACATATCCCATACCCCACACAATGTCTAGTTACCATACAAAATATATCCCTGACCATGAGATATTGTCTAGTGATGATGGAACTCCACTGTCCACACCAATACACTTGTTGTAAACTGATGGTTGTACCTTGGCCTTAGACTCATTGGTTATAAATAGGCTGTCATTTCTCCTTACCATTCCTTAGCCATGGACTGTTTGGGTATTACAGGACTGTCCTGTTTCATCATCATACCTAAGCCGTGGACTGATTAGGTATAACTAGGCTGTCGTTTCTCTTTACCGTACCTTAGTTGTGGACTGATAAGGTATAACTAGTCTGTCATTTCTCTTTACCATACCTTAGCCGTGGACTGATTTGGTATAACTAGGCTGTCATTTCTCTTTACCATACCTTAGCCGTGGACTGATTGGGTATAACTAGGCTGTCATTTCTCTTTACCGTCCCTTAGCCGTGGACTGATTAGGTATAACTAGGCTGTCGTTTCTCTTTACCGTACCTTAGTTGTGGACTGATAAGGTATAACTAGTCTGTCATTTCTCTTTACCATACCTTAGCCATGGACTGTTTGGATATTACTGGACTGTCCTGTTTCATCATCATACCTAAGCCGTGGACTGATTAGGTATAACTAGGCAGTCATTTCTCTTTACCGTACCTTAGCCGTGGACTGATTAGGTATAACTAGGCTTTCATTTCTCTTTACCATACCTTAGCCGTGGACTGATTAGGTATATCTGGACTGTCATTTCTCTTTACCATACCTTAGCCATGGACTGTTTGGGTATTACTGGACTGTCCTGTTTCATCATCATACCTAAGCCGTGGACTAATTAGGTATAACTAGGCTGTTATTTCTTTTTACCGTACCTTAGCCATGGACTGATTGGGTATAACTGGACTGTCATTTCTCTTTACCGTACCTTAGCCGTGGACTGATTGGTTATATCTGGACTGTCATTTCTCTTTACCATACCTTAGCCGTGGACTGATTAGGTATAACTAGGCTGTCATTTCTCTTTACCATTCCTTGGCTGTGGACTAATTAGGTATAACTATAGGCTGTCATTTCTCTTTACCGTACCTTAGCCGTGGACTGATTGGGTATATCTGGACTGTCATTTCTCTTTACCGTACCTTAGCCATGGACTGATTGGGTATAACTGGACTGTCATTTCTCTTTACTACCTTAGCCGTGGACTGATTGGGTATAACTGGACTGTCATTTCTCTTTACCGTACCTTAGCCGTGGACTGATTGGGTATATCTGGACTGTCATTTCTCTTTACCGTACCTTAGCCTTGGACTGATTGGGTATAACTGGGCTGTCATTTCTCTTTGCCGTACCTTAGCTGTGGACTAATTAGGTATAACTAGGCTGTCATTTCTCTTTACCATACCCTAGCTGTGGACTGATTAGGTATAACTGGACTGTCGCCTCTCATTACCATACCTTAGCCGTGGACTGATTAGGTATAACTGGACTGTCACCTCTCATTACCGTACCTTAGCTGTGGACTGATTAGGTATAACTGGACTGTCGCCTCTCATTACCATACCTTAGCCGTGGACTTATTAGGTATAACTGGACTGTCACCTCTCATTACCGTAGCTTAGCTGTGGACTGATTAGGTATAACTGGACTGTCGCCTCTCATTACCATACCTTAGCCGTGGACTGATTGGGTATAACTAGGCTGTCATTTCTCTTTACCGTACCCTAGCTGTGGACTGATTAGGTATAACTAGGCTTTCATTTCTCTTTACCGTACCTTAGCTGTGGACTGATTAGGGATAACTAGGCTGTCATTTCTCTTTACCATACCTTAGCTGTGGACTGATTAGGGATAACTAGGCTGTCATTTCTCTTTACCATACCTTAGCTGTGGACTGATTAGGTATAACAAGGCTGTCATTTCTCTTTACCATACCTTAGCTGTGGACTAATTAGGTATAACTAGGCTGTCATTTCTCTTTACCATACCCTAGCTGTGGACTGATTAGGTATCACTAGGCTGTCCTTTCTCTTTACCGTACCTTAGCTGTGGACTGATTAGGGATAACTAGGCTGTCATTTCTCTTTACCATACCCTAGCTGTGGACTGATTAGGTATCACTAGGCTGTCCTTTCTCTTTACCGTACCTTAGCTGTGGACTGATTAGGTATAACTGGACTGCCCACACTCTCCTGAGAGCCCTTGGATATTTGAACGGGAATTGTTATCCTAGATGTGCAAGGCACAGGACTTTCAACACCTTTTCCTCCTGAATGTTGGTCAGCTGACTCACTATGCCATTGTTTATGTGATTTTAAAGTCATATCAGTTTCATCGTTTATCATTTCATCATCAAAATCCCCATCCATCAGTTCAACATAGGCCATCTCAAGACGCTCACTCCTATTCTGTTTTTCTGTCCTGTAAAAAATAAAAAATAAATGCATGATTTGTGTAACATTTAGAACACACTTAATGTGTGCCTATGAGCAAAGCATCATAATTGGGTATTTTTACCGTTCTTTTTATGTTATTTTGTGTTAAGGCATGAAAATTCCTCAGAAATATTCCATATATAAGAAATAGAGATATTTTGAATTAGTATGTTCCTCTGTTCCACTTAATCATGGGGAAAATTAGGAAATATCAAACAAGAAAATACCTTAAGAGAAATTAGTTTCAGCATACATGGAGATGTAGCTAGTAAAACAATTTATCCAGTAATCTACTGGTGCCTTTTCCACTTTCCATAAAATTTCACAAGACATTATACAAGCTATTTTATGACCAATAACGGGTCAATTTTCCTTCTAAATTATGACCATATTTTCCTTCTAAATTATGGCCATATTTTTCACTTCTCTCATAAAAAATCTGTAAAACATTTTTAGTAAAAGTGATTCATAATATTAAATCAATCCGATGGAATAGCTATCTTTTTTTCACTTGCATATCCTACACATATAATAATGTCACTACCTTCCTCTGCCTCTGTTTGTTTGTATATAATATCACTACCTACAGAATGTCTGCCCTACCTCTGTCCTTGTATATAATATCACTATAGCCCGAGTACCCTACCTCTGCCTCTGTCGGTCATTCTTGCCGGAGACCTCATTTGCATTACTGTCTCCATTTGCACTGACAGATTGTCCTCTTTGACTCATGGAGGATACTCGGCCACTAGGTTTTGCTTTGCTGAAAAAAAAGACAAAGCTTTCCTTCTAGAAAAAAGACATTCTGAATCCTCTTGCTCTTTAACTGTTGTGAGGAGATCTTAGAAACAGGAGAATTTTATTTTGTATATCAGCTCTCGTATCCCATTTATACATTACTTTGCAATGATCATGCTAAAAGTTTCTTATAAGTTTTTTTTTAATCAGAATGAATTCAAGAAGTGGTATAGGATGAGATGAGCTTACTTCCAGTTCAGAAGTTGCTGGAAAGTCCTTAATATCACTCAGGAATGCAAGAAATCTTATCATCAAACACTAAAGCTGTACATGTATTTTACTAGGACTTAGGTATAATTAATACCTCCTCTGTTTCTTTGGCACAGTTCTAGAAGAAGGAGCGTGCTGTGAGGCGCCTCCAGACTGAGATGGCTGCTGGTCGGCTAACGTCGCCAGGACAAAGTTGGCTTCAAATGCACTGTCACTGTCTATACACAGCACCACCGGCCTGTAACGATCATACATTATAACAAACATCACATACACACGACACGTCTATACACAGCACCACCGGCCTGTAACGATCATACATTATAACAAACATCCCATACACACGACACACACACAGTATGAGGAAACAACTTCTAACAAAGTGACACACTAATGCTACTACTTTATACCAGGAAACGTCTGCCCAATAAAATATTCGCCCTTTGCCAATAAAATCCATGTCCGCCTAATGTTAATTGCGCCTTTCACATGTAATAACTTTATATTGTATTTTGTGTACAAATATTTGCTGTCCTGATAAATTTGACCTCATTGGGGACTCATGGGGAGGGTGTAAAAAGGCGAAAGTTAAACTGCGGCTAAAATTTCCCAGTATACAGTAATCTTGAAAGGTATTGCCTCACACAAAGTTTACCAATGGTTTAAGGTCTGTAGATGAAGAAATTGATAGACATATAGCACAGTAAACTACATACCAAATATCACAGGTCTAGGCCCTATCAGTATGGTTCTGAAATATTGTTCAAGGAAAATCCACTTTGTCATTCCTCAAGCTGACATGCTCTTCGTGCCAGTTGATTTGTTTAAGGTTTTACATCCTCACTACAGCTAAGGTCATATGAAGATGCTGTCTTCAGGTGATAGGGCCACTCAAGGGTCGCATTCAAGTGGCATCTCACTGAAACGTCATGACCTGGACACAGTGTCATGACACTCCACATTATACAGACAATGGGCCAATAATTAGTCCTTACAGTACCCATTTAAAGCTAAACAGTCAGCTAAAATTTGTGATCAATGACAGTGAATATCAAACATACATTTTTTTCACCATTTTATTCAAAAATTTGATATTCCAATTTACATGTACATTGTACTTATAGCAGATAAGTGTTGGTCTTCTTAGGATTCAAGTTTAATGTTTGTATTTCTACCATATGTTACACAAACATGTTACTGTTTCTGTTAGGGGTTTTAGATGCTGGAATGTAATTAAGACCAAAGTAATTTCCAACCTTCACCTAGATCTACATATAAAAGTATTTGCTTCTCCTTAACTACATCTAAGTACTTAAGGTCAAAGTATTGACGTTTCCTTATCTACATCTATGTGATAGCAATTGTTTTTCTGTATCAAGATCTATAGCAAGTCTTCTTTGGATATGTCTAACAAAACTATGTTTTACAATGACCCAATAATAACCTTACCTTCCAGAAGTCTCGAACTGTATAGAGATTGGCATTCCGGTGGCTTCTCCAAATGATAAGATAGCCTAGAAAATTAACAACATATGAATGATGTTTGACAGAGTAAATATACAGTAGGCATTTGGACAATGAAGCAGTTTGGTAGTGTTAGAGACCTACTGTTTGATAATATAAACTTGGAGACAGCCAACTTTACATTAGATCTACAGTATACTTGTGTGCGAGACAAACTATTTAACAATGCTAAGTTGACAGAATGGTTTCAGACAAAATATTTGGCAATTTGAGACAAGCTATTTCAGGTATTCACTCACACACTCCTTTTGACCAAGCAAATGTTTGTGTCTACACCAATGTTTAACAGGGACACACCACTTGATTGATATGTATATCTGCATCAACCTGATGGCTCATCAGTGATATATGTTTCAGTCATTTATGGGCAACCCTACTGGTAAGTGTATCCACCTCACTCTATCAGCTGTCAAACAGGTCTGACAATCTACTGATGTGTATACTTACTCGTAGCTCTTTCAGACAGAAAGTGATTTCAGTGTCCACGCCCACCTGACAGCTATCAAACTCACTGGGGTCAAGGTTCAACATAGTGTGCATTACCTTGTTTGGATCTACAACACCAGAATAGAATACTGATAGGAAAAATCAAAACTTTCAAGCTTATTATTGACAGTCACTTAGAAAAGAATTACACGTTGTTCAGATATGACTACCTCTTACCATCTCTCTTTGACTTCCTTATTTTTTACATCTATTTTCTAATTAGTTTTTATATCTAGAATGACTTCTGTATGTTCTGGTGAATGTTATAAGGAATATAAGGAGCAAAAATAGGAGATCTAATTATCATACTTTTTTTTTTTAAACTATATAAAAGTAGAAAATAGAAATGCTATTCAAAATAACCTCTTTCAAGTATCTATTTATCAGGTAAATGGTCATTAGAGCTATTTAACATTATGGGTCATTTTAGGCCTCATAAAAAATGAAAATTTCAACTTAAAATTATTTTCCAAATTCTGTTATAAACATCAGATTGGTTAATTGGGGCTATCTTTCTTTGAGTATTTTTTTTTTCATTGCTTGCGCATGCGTAGATGCTCCACCATAGCAACGAACTGCGTTGCTTACAGAAACAGCCAAAATATGGTGTTTTTGGACGGTTAACATGCAGAAATGAAAGCCTCCGCATGTGACAAACAAACAGTCGTTTTAACAAATGAACACTGGTATAACAATTTTTAAAAATGTCATATATTTATTTGTTTGGTTGTATGCGGAGCATGTGGTTTAAAAAATTTAGTTAATTTCCTTTAAAATGGCACACAACAGACGATATTAACATGTTTTATCATGAAAATGTGTGTTTATGTCTCTCTTCGTAATGCCATATCTCTCAAACCAGATGTCAAATGAATTTGAAATTCAAATTTGTACTTCATTTATTTCAGATTACGACTATAACCACTAATCCTAAATCCCCAATGAGGCCGGAAATGTCCCTTAACGCCCCTAATCCTTTTTGCAGAATTTTTTCTTCGTTCATTCTGATTAAACATTGTGTTTGTCATGTTCCTTCGGAACATCTCTACTTCCATTGCATACAATACGATAAAGTCAGGAAGCGTTTCCAAGACCCAGACAAAGCAACCGGTCAGGATAATTTTGTTGTCAGTATAATAAAACAGTTATTTTATGGGTATTTCGGGAAATCGCACTTTTATTGTCCCCTTTGACATTAACTATTTCCCTCGGCTTAGTTAATGTCCCAGGGGAAAATAAAAGTTCTATTTCCCTCACACCCATACAATAACAGTATGCTATAATGTATAAATCATGTTTTTACTTATATTTACCTGGTTCCTCATCTACATAGTTCTTTAGGCTTATTCTTTCTGGAGACGCAATAAGAGTTATCTCCTCCTGATTACTTTGGAAATTCAAAACAGCTTCTGATAACAATCTACAACAAAAAATATGATTTTCCAGATAAAAAACAATTTGGATTTGATTGCAATTATTTCTTTATGCTATCAACCATACAATGATAAGGAGCTGATCATTTATAATGTTAATAATTATGTTCAGCTTGTTTTAGGTTCTATAAACTTTACACCAGTTTAACTATTAAGATACATGTTTCCAAAATACTGTGATACTTATAAACAATGGTATAATGTTTAAGCTAAAAAAAAAAAAAAAAAATATAGGTAAGGCATAAAGTTTTGTATGATGAAGAACTTGTAAGTATTCCAATGTAGTCTGCATACTTAGGATGGGCAGTGAGCTTGTTGATGCACATGTCTTTGGAAAACACAGCCTGGAGAGTCTCACACTCTATAAAGGCTAGGTTATGGGTCTTAACAATACCTGTAATAATTAGAATATCAAATTATTCTCAAATGTTATCTACTATGTGATACACTTTTGGTCCTAAATATGTCTGTAAATCACCAACATAGATTAAAGCTGTTTTATTAATCATTAGATAATGATCCTACAGACGTTTTTCTATTAATTGTTTTAAAGAGTTAAAAGGTTTACCTGCCATTGCACAAACTAAACTTCTCTTAACTGCAATTACTTTTTTACTATGAAGTTATGACAATAAACATTACATGTTTACTGTAAGATACTGTGTTTACGATAAACTAGAACACTAGNGTTGTTTCCTTCCACCTCCATATTTGCTGGGCTAACAGAAATGTAAATACCGGTGCAATACTCATTTGTTAGCTTTGATTTGTTTTATTTCACCTTATATACCTCCTCCATCAAGAGCCAGGGTCAAAGTCAGAGATCCACTTTGTCTTTGACCTTTGGACCCAAATGATATTGACCATTAACCCAGTGACCCTGATCTTTGGTCAGTTGAATTATTCTTTCATTCCGACCAACTTTGCTTCATAATGTCATAACAAAATGTTCATCAGTGAAAAATACAAAACTTGACCTTGACCCTTTGGACCCTGTAACCTGGACCTAAGGTCAGTTGACTCTGTGTTAAGTTCTGAACAAGTTTGCTACATAATAACATAAAATGACCTTGACCTTAAGTCAGTTGACTCCTTTTTAAATTCAGACCAACTTTTGCTTCATAATGTCATAACAAAATGTTCATCAGTGAAAAGATACAAAATTTGACCTTGACCTTTGACCCAGTGACCTTGCCCTTTGGTCAAATGACTCCTTGTTTAATTCCCACAAACATTGCTCCAAAGTGTCATAATGAAATGTTCACCAGCAAAAAAATACTAAATTTTACCTTGACCTTTGACTGAGTGATCTTGACCTTAGGTCAGTTGTCTCTTTGTTAATTTCCGACCAACTTTGCTTCATAAAGTCATAACAAAATGTTCTTTGGGAAAAGATACAAAATTTGTCCGTGACCTTTGACCCAGTGACCTTGACCTTTGGTCAATTGACTTCTTGTTTAATTCTGACCAACATTGCTGCATAATGTCATCACAAAATTTAACCTTCACCTTTGACCGAGTGACCTTGACCTTTGGTCAGTTGACTCCTTGTTTAATTCTGAGCAACTTTGCTTCATCATGTCATAACAAAATGTTCATCAGTGAAAAGATGCAAAATTTGACCTTGACCTTTGAACCTAATGACCTTGACCTTTGACTTTTTACCTCAATGTGTATTTTTGTGAACTGAACATCTTGACCAAGTTTCATGTACAAGGATCAATAAATACCAAAGTTATCAGCCAGGAACAAAATTTGTGGACGGACAGACAGACAGACAGAGTGATTACTATAGGGCACCCGTATCTCCAATACGGGGCCCTAATCACGATAATAAACAAACATACCATGTTGACAATAATGTTACGATAATAAACATAGCGTACCATGTTTACATTAATGTTACGATAAAAACCATATCGTACCATGTTTACAATAATGTTACGATAATAAACAAACATACCATGTTGACAATAATGTTAAGATAATAAACATAGCGTACCATGTTTACAATAATGTTACGATAATAAACATAACATACCATGTTTACAATAATGTTACGATAATAAACATAACATACCATGTTTACAATAATGTTACGATAATAAACATAACATACCATGTTTACAATAATGTTACGATAATAAACATAACATACCATGTTTACAATAATGTTACGATAATAAACATAACATACCATGTTTACAATAATGTTACGATAATAAACATAGCGTACCATGTTTACAATAATGTTACGATAATAAACATAGCGTACCATGTTTACAATAATGTTACGATAATAAACATAACATACCATGTTTACAATAATGTTACGATAATAAACATAACATACCATGTTTACAATAATGTTACGATAATAAACATAGCGTACCATGTTTACAATAATGTTACGATAATAAACATAGCGTACCATGTTTACAATAATGTTACGATAATAAACATAACATACCATGTTTACAATAATGTTACGATAATAAACATAACGTACCATGTTTACAATAATGTTACGATAAAAAACATAAGTTACCATGTTTACAATAATGTTACGATAATAAACATAACATACCATGTTTACAATAATGTTATGATAATAAACATAAGTTATCATGTTTACAATAATGTTACAATAATAAACATAACATACCATGTTTACAATAATGTTACAATAATAAACATAGCGTACCATGTTTACAATAATGTTACGATAATAAACATAACATACCGTGTTTACAATGAAGTTGGAATATTAATCGTGCTTCTTGCATGTTCATCTTGATCTTACATCGCTCAACTGTCTTTTCAATGGTTGCCATTGATTTGAACACAGTAAGACAGGACTATAAAGAAAATCAGAATTTAATTTAAACGTAGCATATAAAATGAAAAATCAACAAATGCTTTAATGCAGATTTTACACAAATTATTAACAAAAACTGTATATATACAAAAAAATTGAAAACGAATCAATTTAAAAAGTGTCCAAATCATACTGATGTAATGCACGCTTGTATATTTTTCCTTCTTTAAAACACTATTATTTCTCACCTTCATACCGATTTTACACCTTAGAGCATCCTCATCACTGTTCTGGGATGAAATATCAGAAATACCATCGTCATAGTCTTGGAAGAATGACGGAGAAAACAGGAAACATGCATAAGCTGATCTAGAAGAGTTCACTGTCCGCAAAGCCAGCTGTCAATCAAAGAAATCAATCTAAGGTGTAAGAATTTTTATATTTATCAAACTAAATTTTATTTACTTTACAAGTTTTAATCTCCTAACGAGCTTGTCATCAAAATGACAAATAAACTGTAAACATGTCAATTTCCAAACATATTTTTTTTGTCCAAATATACGTAATACTTAAACAGTATAAGAAAATGTTGTATCAAATGAAACCAGGTTGTCCTCTGCCATTACTAGTAACAAGATTATTTTATCAAAATTATCCAAATTATCATTTCATACACTAAGTCACAATTTTTAGCATACAGTGTATTGGGTCTAACTTACAAAATAAAGTATGTCTTAATTACTGTCACTGGAACAATATCTTGTCTTGTCTGGGTTTACAAGTTCTTATTTAGAGATTGGCTGTAGGAGTCTATACTGGTAGATTTTGAAAAAAAAAATACAATCACAACCTTTATCTTCATGGTAAATGCTGATTTTTTTACTAGCCCTGACAAATGGATCAATGCTGGAATAGAAAGTTAGTTACCGAAAATATGCTCTAGATCTGTATGTGCATGACCCGCTGGCGGGGAGGGTGGCTTCGAATCGACCACCGCATATGCATTAGAAAAAAGTGTTTATGTGCCTGTTATGATATTGTATACTGTATATAACGTTAAATACAATGACAATATGAACACAATAAGAATCACTCAGTTGTCGAACTGATGGTCAATAAGAATCAAATAGAACCAAGACAGATCATCGTGTGGTAGTACATTTGTATTAATGGGGGAATATTTAACTGAAACAGGGAAAATAAAGCTGGTCTGGTTTGGTTTAATTTTGTTTAACGTCCTATTAACAGCTAAGGTCAGTTAAGGACTTGCCTCCATGTGTGTAGTGTGTGTATGCAGGAGACAGGGTATGTTGGTTTGCTTGCCTCCTTGTGATAGCGCGAATCTGATACCGACTTTATAGTGCTGTCTCACTGAAGTGCCAATCCGAAGGCACCAAGCACAGCAATGTGCCCTGTCACATTATACTGACAACGGGTGAACCAGTTGTTGCAACTCCCCTTAATGCTGAACGTTAAGCAAGGAATAACAACTACCACTTTTAAGGACTTTGGTATGTCCCGGCCTGGGGACAGAACCCATTGCCTTCCTCACCATGGCGAATGCTCAACAGTCAAGCCAAAAGTGAGGTATTGTCAAGCAAGGGGCTAGGAAATAAAAGGTAGTTAGAAGTAGAATGAAAGATAAAGATCCCAAATATTGCAATGGGTGCAGCAGATTTATTTTGGTCGCTTTTGTGTCCCCAAATAGAGGACCCAAAAGCAAATCTCCAATTTTGCAGGGGGTCCAAACATTAGTCGCCTCCTACAATACATGCAGGGAGTAACAGCAGGTGCACTCTTTTCCCAATCCCCTACCTGCAGGGGTGAAAATAAAGCTGAAAAAGGGGGGAAATGCTGAAGTTGGAGAGGGGAACTGGCCCATAATCGGCCATAAAAAGGCCTGTATATATCGATGCTGGCCTAATAGCTTCTTGCCTTGGATGTCTGACTGATTGGTTATATTGTTTGTTATATTTCATACTAACCCCATGTTCTAAAGGTTCAAAGTACAGCTCATCTCCAATTTTTGACAAAGAATGGATGGCTCGTCCAAAGACTGCAAAAGAAATAATACAGGTAATATCTTAACAGGATGACAACTGAAATTTTCAGCAAACAGAATGCAAATATGAATTGAAACAAAATTGTTAGGAATACTCATATGTTAGTTTCGTGTACATTTCTATGCATATTATGTTTACATTGACATTAATACCTGCACTCATGTCATATTTTGGAAGATCAAAACACAAAACATTTTACATTGTACACATTACTGCATGATAAGTTGATTTTATATCTTGGGAAAATGATGACATATATTCAAAAGAATAAATCAAATGACCCCTAAGCAAACATTTCAAATTTGTATTATATAAATATTTAAGCAATGAGATTTGAAGTTTGAACAGATGACAATATGATTGCCATTTATAATGATTAAATGTTATAAAAAGTGTTCTGAGGGTCCCAGGTTCGAACCCCAATCTGGCCGTTGCATTTCTCTTTCTCCTGTTACAGAAGAAAACAAAATAGCTAGGTAATAACTATCCAGAGATGATGTTCTGAAAACAAAACTAATGATTAATTGTTCATCTTCTAACCAATTGAGGTACCTAGTCTCCTGGTCTACTTCAACATATAGTAATATTAACATGGCAAGATATTCTTGACAAGAGCCGATTCAGTCGGTATAATCATATCCCATTAAAAATAGCTGACAGTGGTCTCTTATGTTATAGCAAGGAAAGAGATTAGATTGCTATCCCTGTCCATGGTTATAGGGCAGGAGTATCATCCGGCCCCACTTCACCTGTACACTTCCAGGGCATTGGGAAAGTACTTCACCTGTACACTTCCAGGGCATTTGTAAAGTACTTCATCGGTACACTTCCAGGACATTGGGAGAGTACTTCACCTGTACACTTCCAGGGCATTGGGAGAGTACTTCATCGGTACACTTCCAGGGCATTGGGAAAGTACTTCACCTGTACACTTCCAGGGCATTTGGAAAGTACTTCATCGGTACACTTCCAGGGCATTGGGAGAGTACTTCACCTGTACACTTCCAGAGCATTGGGGGAGTACTTCACCTGTACACTTCCAGGGCATTGGGAGAGTACTTCACCTGTAAACTTCCAGTGCATTGGGAGAGTTCTTAACCTGTACACTTCAATTCCAGGGCATTGGGAGACTTGTTACTGTCCGGGACAACAAATCACAGTTGGCCGAGTTCATGTGCCTACTGATGGAAAGTTTCGTTTTAATTTCAACCATTTGTAACTGGGGCCTGCTCGTTTATGTGTAGTCCTAATATTAATACCCGGTCTCCTCTATGTTATTGCAGCTAGTTTATACGCATAAATCCGCCAAGATTATACCGGTTTATCTGTTTTTAAATGTAACATTTTGGGGTATAAATCCTGGCGGATCTGGAAATATTTGTGCAGGCCTTGCAATGCTTGCCTGAAACCAGCATCAGATTACTAGGTCCGACCTTGTTTCAAAAACGAACAACTCTGGTTCAACCATTTGGATCGCAATAAACGAAAGTGGCCCTAGTCAGCTTTGTTTACATTTTTCCCACGATTACTGATTAGTTAGACGTGCAAGTAACCTAGGTATGTTTCTGCACCTTTGATGTGAACGCCTGGGATGATGCACTTCATGATGGACTCATAGTCAGATGAGATCTCATTCACGTTAATGTATTTGAGATATTTCCCTACAAATGTTAAATCTGAACAGAAATAATGAGCCAGATCAGAATGACTGATTTCAAGCAGACCGCCATAGTCCTCTATTAACCGAAGTTACAACGAGACGATAAATTCTATTGGTCAAGATTACACATTTCAGCCAATGAGAGCGTACGTATCAGATTTGTCAACGGAAGTAGTTCTGTGTGTTATTTCCGGAAATTGATCACATGAACTGGCAAGATGGTAAAATTTAATGTTTATGAATATTTGTTGTTAATTAACTCAGCGTTTCAAGTAATATTTTAAAGTGATTTCTAAAACGTATTGAGAAATAATCGTTTACTGCGTAAATAGCTTTACTTCGTAGTTGTCCTAATAATTTCCTGTTTGTGTCTATCATGGGGGTGTGTCATTCTGTGAATATCAGGTCCAGTACATTCTGCCGATTGAGCTATATAGCTATAAAGACCTATATAGCTATATTCACCTATAAATTATAGCTGTATTGAGCTATATTTTCTCAGATTTCGATTTTCATTAAATTAAAATAAAGTCGCATGAAACAATAAGGTGTATGGTAATGTTGACTATACAAAAAACATACATTAGATGTTTATTTTCATTTTCCATCAATGTTAATTTTCGATTTTTTTTACATTGTTTTTTTTTTTTAAAAAGAATGCTTATATTTAATGTCTTTTGTTATCAACCTAATGATATAATCTTCTTTTAAAAGCGACTTTGTTTCGTTTTCCTTAAAAAAGAAAATAACATGAAAATAGCTCCAAATACTTATTTCAGATAGGTCAATAGAGCTAGTATAGGTCTTTACAGCTATATAGCTCAATCGGCTCAGTGTACTGGACCTGAATATTGCATGTGTAAATTATGATTTTTGGTCTTCTTGATATTTTCGATAAAGATTGTCTGTCAACCAGGACTTGATTTAAAGCAAATAAGTTTTCAGAAATCAGTGATCATTTTGGAGGGTGCACTTGTCATATATATTGGCCTATTTAAAATCCAAAAGATCTATCACCTTTCACCCTCTTCTAATTTCTATTGAATGACCCCTCAAAATTTGCCTAATTTACGTAATTGACCAAATTTCGCACATCTACCGTCAAATTATAAAAATCGTTATAAATAACTTATTTTGTTCCATGAATAAACATAAGCTCTTATCTTTGTAATTCTATGGCATTTAAACATTCATCACTTTCTTATTGGATCGAGAACTGAGGATTTTATATCAGTCAACTGTCAGTTACATATTGCAATGTATTTTGTTATGGTAGCGTATTCTTATCATACTGGTTTACTGATGAATATATTTAAGTTAAATATATATATATAAGAACCTCCTGAAATATTGTAATTTGACGAAGCTGCACAAAATCAACTACACATATGGACATATTTGATATACTGTCCATGTATGGAATAATGTCCATATGCTTTGTACAGCTGCATTGTACTGTGCATGCTTCTTTGAGAAATGTGACTGTGGTACATTGTAATTATTACAAGAGTTACTCACACTCACAGAAACCACATTAAATGCGTCAAGCAAGGATTTGTACCACAATTTCCTGCATACTACCAACAGTCCAACACTCGGGGATGTCCTGCAGGAATAAAAATGGAGTATTTCGTAAAAATATAGCATGCCCTGGCAAATTGTCAGGAGGAAAACATTGAAACAACTTGTTTAATAAAGCAGTACATGTATACTGATATAAATACCCAGGTCTCATTTCCTATGGTGATAGCACTGTGCTTCACAAAAGTGACTGATATTGCACCTGATGTTATATTAAGATTGATTCTGAATTGATTTAAGTGATACAAGTTTAGATGATTGTTTTTGATATTTTTTTGCATGTATGTGGCACTCATATGTATGTGCAAACAAGGAAAAAATGAACTACATAGCCCACATTTTTACTCAATTATTAGAAAGAAAATGCAGTCCATTTCAAAAGGTAGCATGAAAAAGTCATTTATTTTTTAGATGTAAAAATTTATAAAGCTTGTGGGATATATATTAAAACTACATATTACTTTCTAACTCTTAGATGGATGCTCAACCAACTGCCGGGTAATATAAACTAAGCCTGATCAATGGTGATCATCAAGGGCAAGCTGAACTGAACTGTTTATTTAGTAAAGGAAACAAAGAATAATATGGAACCAGAGAGAATTGCAATAACCTGTATTTTATTGGAATGTTTTTATTTCTGTACATGCATGTTACTGAAACTGTTTACTCTGGATTTCAGTTGGTGTTAGTACTCGGAGATCTTCACCTTCCTCACCGATGTCACATGCTGCCGTCAAGGTTCAAGAAATTACTTGTCCCTGGAAAGATACAGCACATCTTGTGTACAGGGAATCTTTGTACAAAGGAGTCATTTGACTATCTCAAGACACTAGCCAGCGATGTTCATGTTGTGAGGGGTGATTTTGATGATGTATGTTATTGTTTTTATCTGCACAAATTTATAAAGATGTTTAGATTTAGTGATTTATGGTGAGTCAATCTGATTAAAATCATCTGTTCCATGGCTCCGCCTGAACATCTGAATGTGCCGCGGTCAGGGTCACGTTCAAGTGACCTTTAGATGAGCCAATCAGAGGCGCGCTGGCAAAAGTTTGCCAGCGAATCGGAATATCATGGTTGATAAATAAATAGCGAGGGGTATCGAACAGATTAGTTTTCCAAAACAAATATGGCGGGAACTGACGTTTCTACGATGCCAAGGAAAACGTACCCATTGGGTAATAATTGCGTAGGCAACACCACCATACAGTCTTTCTTCTCTAATAAAGCTTTGAATATCTTTTTCTGTTCGGGTTTCAGATGATCAATCTCAAATAATTTCAGAACTTTCGCATCATTCTCATCAATGTCCGCCATATTTGTTACAACTCTGAGCGTCCTTTTGAAAGAGTGTCTCTGATTGGTCAAAATTTAATGAGTATTTATTAATATAACGGTCACCTGAACGTGACCCTGACCGCGGCACACTCAGATGTTCAGGCGTATTACGAAGTTAACGAAGCCATGTAACATATGATTTTAATCAGATTGATGGTGAGTCAAGTCAATCTTTGTTAGTCACTTTAGAACGAAAAATTTCATTTATGATATAAATATTTAACATTTTCACAAGGAGATTTAAAAAAAAAAAAAACCTCAGACTCCTCCAGGTACCAGGTTGATAAGCAAAATGAAATCATTGAGATATTTTTTGTTGTCAATGTGTCAGGTAGAGAGAAACAAAATGCTTTGCTTTGTAAGATTTCCATGTTGATATACTGAAAGTCCATACTCGTCAACTTTTTGAAATTTCCATGGGGGAGATTATGCATGCTCAGAATCAAATGCATAAGTATCATGTGTGTATGTACAACCTAGGGGGGGGGGGGGGGGGGAAATAACACTGGTAAATGACATTGTTTTAGCTGTTCTCTCAGGTGAAAAAATCTGATCTTAAAAAAAAATCCATATAGGAATAGTTTAGCAAATTCCCTTGTTGAAAATGCTCAATTTTAGGGTTCAAAATTTGGAGTCCCCATCCTAATTAGTGAGAGTTGGCAAGTATGTAAAACATATTGAGACTTTGTCAGACATATAGGTAATAACTGATATTGTCATTAGTTGCACACATTTTCTGAAAGTTTCAATGTCTTGATTGATTTTTTTTATGTTCCAGAATCTTAATTATCCAGAGCAGAAGGTTGTAACAGTAGGACAATTCCGTATTGGTTTATGTCACGGCCACCAGGTGGTGCCCTGGGGTGATACAGAGAGCCTATCAATGGTTCAGCGACAACTCGATGTTGATATCCTCATCTCTGGTCACACTCACAAGTTTGAAGCATTTGAGCATGAAAACAAATTCTACATAAACCCTGGCTCAGCCACAGGAGCATACCATCCTACAGAAAGGTACTCTATCCTCAAGGGTGAAATAACATTTCTCATTTATAAGTTGTGTACTCATTGAATTAGTCAACAATCATAGACACTTATTTGACAAGGGAAGCCTTTTGTTTGGAGAGATAAACAGGAATTTGAGTTACCATCAATCTTACTAGATGTATATGTTGTAACAAGTAAGTTTTGTACGTGTAGGAATTGGTAAGTAAATTGCAGAATGTCTTGTCAGAGTGTTTTTGCACAAGACCAGGCTATTTCATATCTTCTGCCATTTTAATACATACTTGTAGTATACATCCTGTACATAATGGTTCCTAGTAGAGGATACACATAGGTTCAATTGGAGTGTTTTTTTCTGATTTACTGAAATTTCACTTCATATGTTATTATTAAAACTGCAATGAGTCTCTTTATTCATTACAAGATTGAATTGTAGTAAACACCAAGTGATTAACAAGTCTGTTATAAATAGTAAAACAACTAAGTATTTTACAAACAACATTAACACAGTATTTTGTTTAAAATTCTAAAGAAAAGGATATTACAAAATGGAATGATGCCATAAGTGTTTTCAGTAAAAGTGTATTTATAGGAATTTCTACAAAACATTATCTTCATATTTTATATAAATATATATTTAAGTAGGTAATGGTTTTGTGCTTTTGGTTTGCAGCAATCCAGTACCATCATTTGTGATCTTGGATATACAACAATCAACGGTAGTAGCTTATGTGTACAAATACATGAACAATGATGTCAAAGTGGAGAGAATTGAGTACCGCAAAAACTGAAACCCTACCGATATCTACGTGTATCACAGAAGGACCAGACCTGTTCATAAAGGACACACTCGATTCAATACATTAACACCACCTTTGACCTTGTGCGACAGCGTACTGGACATATATGTATGCTATACAGAATTTCATCAGATGAAGATTTGATTGTTTGTACAGTTTTGGTCATTTTTTTGCGTGTCGCATTGTCACCATTTAGTTGTAGAGTTGTTGATATTTTGAATCTTGTTTTCTCACTTTAAAAAGTGATGTTTACTGTAAATGTCGAGGAAATCTGACAAATTGTTTCAAAATAATTAATAAACTCTATTTCTCATATCTCTTTATAATAGAATTTCTTACATAATAGTTATTACTGATTTGTAAATGTGGTTCTCAAGGAAATGTTTTACATTTATATTCAATCAGTGCTTTAATACATACAGCTGTACTAGTGGTTAGAAATGTTTTTGGTAAGTAGCTTGTATGTTTCGACTTTCAGGTCATTCTTGTTGTAAAGACCAAGGTAAATAGTTTTGTAAATAATTTAACCTGTTTACATTAAAAAACACAACTGTGCAAATGATATCGTTAAGATATAAACACTTTGGATATGTGAAACAAATCCTGGGATGTGTTCGGTACGTGAAATTTTCTTAGAGATTTCTAATAGTTCCCCAGGTCAGATATGTAATACACAGGTATACTGTTATGATTTACTGTGAAGTGGGAAGTTTGACTCTATAGATATAGATCAATTACAATGTTAAAATTCTAGTATACTGGGCACAATTAGAAAACCAAATCTATGTTTATCTGTAATTTAAAAACCTTACAGTAAAGGAAAGTTTTTTCTGGCTTAACACAAACATGCTTATTATTAAGATATGAAAGTTCAACCTGCTGACCGGGTATTAGTGCGGAGTAACGTTGGGGCTAGAAGGAAGATCAGTCTGGTACATGTATTAATGACTCTAGTGGTTGTTGTAAAATATTAAGTTATAATACTTAGATGAAGGGATTCAAACAGAATTTGATAGTGTATAGCACAATGTGGCAGCCTAAAATATGAAGAAGTTACAAATACTGGAAACATTTATTTAGCTTTAAAATATACACAATATTTTGATGCATGATGGATTTTCAATATTATACAAATTCTATAATGTTTGGAAGGTGAGCTACATGTATGTGTTACTGATTACATCACAATTTGTTTCCAGATAGAAAATATCAAGATATTTTGAAAAAGGACTTTCAGAAAAATCAAAATTAATTTGAATACTAATACAACAAGTGATGAAATATGCATGTTATTTAAGAAAAACATGAACTGCTATCGTTTACGGACTAGTAAGTGAGATGTGACATGTGATATTACTGTATCTAATCTGCAATAAGTCAAGGGGGTCATCACATTATCTCCAATCAAATTTGGGGTTGGCATTATCACAGGACAAAGAAATATTGTTTGTTGGCATTTCTGCTGAACTGCTACTGATATGGGTGGGCTTATTACCAGGTATGGGCTTAATGCTGGATAAATACGGTACTGTCAGCTACTGTTACTGATTCTGTTGTCATTTTAAAGGTTTTGTAATTCATGTGTAGATGTGTACATGTGTTATGTACTGTATATGTCTGTGAATTAATTTATATGTATAAAATTAGAAAATATGCACTTGAGAAAATACATAACCTGATGTAATATTTAGTGTTGTTTCATCTGTTACTGTATTCAGCCTCTCTAGAACGTCGGGTCTTGATGGTTTAGAGACTTACATGTATATACTAGATATATAGGTCTCTGGCCAGTTCAGAAAATTAGATGAGAACTAATCTCCAGTTGAAATATATCTCATGATTATATAGTTATTCAGAGAACAATGGATATTTCTGTTGCTGTTTCTATTCGCAAATTTCAGTCTTTCCTCACATGCTCTATCAGTACAATCAGAAAAAAAAAATGCTAAATTGCTACTGAAATTCCACTACTTTACTTTTCAACTAATACGTAAATGAATTGACCATGCACACCATAAAATCACAGAATGTTATGTACAGGTGTTGTTACTATTCTGAGAGACAAGTTACATATTTCCACAATGTATGGTTCTAGATTAATCTCGTATTCTAAGTACATCTCCAGAAAGTTCCACTTATTGGATTACAAATCTCCATGAACAAGATATGTACCCATATCATCATTATGAAACAAATAACAACAGCAGCGAGATGTTTGTAATGCATTTAATGAAATCCATCTGCAGTGAAAGGTTTGTATATACATTTAGGGTAAATGAAAGTCAGGTTTCTTGTAAAACTCCACTAACTTGAATATTTACACACAAATCATTCTATTATTTCTGTCAAAAAATTACTTAATTACAGGACAGAAGTAAATGAAAGACTTCACTAAGCAATCAATTTCAAAGTGTACTAATGAAAACAAGTCTTTGTTATAGATCCATGATCAAACTCCGTCCCATACCACACAACCTAATGTATTAAGCTAGATTTAAGTTAACAGTGTCATAGAAAAATAATTATTTATCTAAAACCTACTTTTTACACTTTTCAAAACTAATATATATTCCACTTCCATGACAAATTGTAAAACAATCTTAATCACTTCATGTGATAAAAACAAATGAATAACAGGTTACACTTTATATTAACAAAATCTAAAAATGTCTAGAAAAACAAGTGATTAAAATAAAACAAAAATCACAGACATGATAATGATGAAATACTGTTCAGTAAATACTGCAATAGATGTACATTTCATTATCAAACACACTTTCCAATGTGTAATAGTACATGTTGCAGAAAATTACTTTATGTCTAAATTAGAGTTATCTCCCCTCACAAACTGTCCCATCTTGCTTAGCAAATGATAGCAATGTTATACATTTGTTTGGACAGCAACAACACAAAAATAAGGGAGGTCTTTAAAACTGATTTGTTCTGTAGATCTTTGATTACAAGTTTGTTCTATGGTTCATATATCTAGAATATAAATATCAAGCACTTGGCTCACATGGGCCTAAAAGCATCATGATATATGTGGGGTTTGTAAAAAAAATAAAAAATCTCTACACTTATTATTCATGAGAATAAAACAATTGTCATTTTCATTGTTTAAACAAATATTTGTGTGTCCGATCAAAACCTATTAGAGAGTTTAAAGAAACCAACTATAGTTCAATTTCCTTTTCAAGAATTATCATACCTTGCCAATACTTATTGAAAAATGATATCATCAAACCTTATAATGAAGAACTGAATGAAATATAGATAGGATGATCAATCACTTATTTTAACCTTTTTGAAAATTTACCCCTGACCCAATGATAAATCTGATAAACATAGACAAGATATACATTAACAGGCCATGTGGCTCGGTACAAGTTACCAAGGTAACCATTTCTTGTATTCTAGTACTACAGCAAGTACACTGATATGACATAAAGCTTGTTAAACTACTGATCCAATAACACCACACACCAGTGTAGCTCAATACTCTATTGTATCAATATCCTTGTTGACACGTCGAGGACCGTCTACATCATCACGTTCTAAAGAATCACGTCTTGGTTGCTGCACCTTACTGTCGTCAGTATAATTGGTGGTCGTTTTGTCCTCTGCTGAGCTTGACTTCTCTGTGCTTAAATTTTGGGGATCAGAGGTGGTATTATCTGTTGGCTGGTTGGTGGCAGAACTGTCGTAGGTCATAGTGTACGTGTCAACATTGGTGCTGTCTGAGTTGTCGCGTGGGGAGACATCCTGTGTAGCAGAGCTAGAGTAGGTCCCTGATTTGTCCTGTGTAGCGGAGCTTGAGTAGGTCCCCGATTTGTCCTGTGTTGTTTGAGATGTGTAGGTGTTATCTGTTGTTGATTTCGTCAGCTGTGCTTCCTCAGAGGTTGTGTAGTCTGACTTTGTGTTGTGTTCGTCCTCTCTGCTGTAATCCTCTGTGGCCGAGGTATCCTGCCCAGTACTCTCTTCTTGTGAGGATTTCAGCTGACTTTTATCTTCATCTGCTGATGACCTTTGTTGACCTTCAGTATCATCTGATGACCTCTGTTGACCTTCACTGTCATCTGATGACCTCTGTTGACCCTCACTGTCATCTGATGACCTCTGTCGACCTTCACTGTCATCTGATGACCTCTGTTGACCTTCACTGTTATCTGATGACCTTTGCTGTACTTTGCTTTCTTCAGACGATGACTTTTGTTGATGTTGACTTTCATCAGAAGATGTGTTGCTATCATCTTTTCTGACCTGTGAACTATCACTACTGTCATTTTGTTCAGAGCTTGTTTGATTTTCTAACACGGGGGTTAGTGGTTTATTTTCAGATGTTTGCAACGGTTCATCCCTTGGGGACGAGAGTGGAACCTTCTGGAAGGTGGTGCTGGTGTCCGAGGGATTCTCTTTACCACTGCTTTCTGATTCCGATCTCTTCTGTTCATCTGGAAGAGAAGCAAAGAAAGTTAAGGATAATATAATACCAGTCTGAATGTAGAGCGAAAGCTCATTTAACCAACCTTTTGCTTTACCAAGACATGACTTGACCTACATCTGAAATCTGACTTTACTGATACATGATATAACTGACAACTGATTTACTAACATCTGACTTTACAGACACCTGACTTTGCAAACACCTGACTTTACGAACACCTGGCTTTACAGACACCTGACTTTACTGACATGTGACTACTTAAACCTTACTACTGATTCTTTATTTTACAGACATCTTGCTTTAACTACACCTGACTTTACTAACACCTGACTTTACCTACACCTGACTTTACTTACACCTGACTTTACCTACACCTGCCTTTACTTACACCTGACTTTACCTACACCTGACTAAATCTACACCTGCCTTTACTGGCACCTGACTTTACTTACACCTGACTTGACCTACACCTGACTTTACCTACACCTGACTCACCTGACTTTACTTACACCTGACTTTACCTACACCTGACTTTACCTACACCTGGCTTTACCTACACCTGACTTTACTAGCACCTGACTTTATCTAAACCTGACTTTACTGACAACCTTCACCTGACTTTACCTAAACCTGACTTTACCTGCACCTGACTTAACTGGCACCTGACTTTCCTTACACCTGACTTTACCTACACCTGACTTTACTAGCACCTGACTTTACCTACACCTTACTTTACTGGCACCTGACTTTACTGGCACTTGACTTTATCTAAACCTGACTTTACCTACACCTGACTTTATCTAAACCTGACTTTACTGGCATCTGGCTTTACCTACACATGACTTTACTGGTACCTGACTTTAACTATACCTGACTTTACCTACACCTGACTTTACTGGCACCTGACTTTATCTAAACCTGACTTTACCTACACCTGACTTTACTTACACCTGACTTTATCTAAACCTGACTTTACCTACACCTGGCTTTATCTACACCTGACTTTACCTACACCTGACTTTATCCAAACCTGACTTTATCTAAACCTGACTTTACCTACACCTGACTTTACTTACACCTGACTTTATCTAAACCTGACTTTACCTACACCTGACTTTATCTAAACCTGACTTTACTTACACCTGACTATATCTAAACCTGAATTTACTTACACCTGACTTTACCTACACCTGACTTAACTTACACCTGACTTAACTTACACCTGACTTTACCTACACCTGACTCTACTTACACCTGACTTTACCTACACCTGCCTTAATCTAAACCTGACTTTACTTACACCTGACTTTACCTACACCTGACTTTATCTAAACCTGACTTTCCCTCCACCTGACTTTATCTAAACCTGACTTTACCTACACCTGACTTTACCTACACCTGTCTTTACCTACACTTGACTTTACTTACACCTGACTTTACCTACACCTGACTTTATCTAAACCTGACTTTACTTACACCTGACTTTATCTAAGCCTGACTTTACTTACACCTGACTTTACCTACACCTGACTTTATCTAAACCTGACTTTACCTACACCTGACTTTATCTAAACCTGACTTTACTTACACCTGACTTTATCGACTTCTAGCTTTACCAACACCTGACTTTACTGGCACCTGCTTTTACAGATCCTTGAGTTTACTGACACTTGATTTTGCCGATACCTAACTTACAGGACCTCTTTTAACATCTGACTTTATTTAATGACACAAAAAGATTATTTTCTGTCTTGAACTCTCATCTGATTTACATGCTGTCATCTGACAAAATGATTCCATTCTCTCCCTGCTGACACAAAATGTTCATGTCCATCTTCTACACATTATTTATTATACACGTACGTGTATTATGCTACAATATGTATAACATTTACACGGTTTATATTATGTGAATTATTTTTAAAAGTATTTTTTAAAACATGTGAAAACTATTTCAGTTCCTTACCTGCTGCAGTTTTGGTGCTGGCGTGACCTAGCCGAGACTTTGGCCTACCCACTCCCTCCCGATGTGAGCTAGTGCCCTCCTCATGCCCGTTGTTATCAGACGAACTTTCAGTTGATGTTGTTGCTGGTGATTCTTCCTTTTTGTTGTTTCCTTTGACCCCTTGTCCCTCATTTCTATTGTTCTGAATGGGCCTGGCCTTGATCTGGGGTTTCTTTGCGGGCCCTTTGTTTGACCTTGCTGGGGGTATTTCTGCACTTGATTTGTAGGTCTGCTCCGTCCTCGACCTTGGTGACAACTGTCGCCCCTTAGTCGACCTTGGAGCACCTGTCTTGGGTCGCTTTCCTTCCTTCTCTTCATTATCACTACTTTTGGGATCGGAGCTGTAACACAAAAACAAAATACAGTTATTTTACATCAGTTATTTTTTATCTATTAACCTTGACGATAATGGAAAACAGTGTTCACAAGACATTATTTACCATGAGATAGCAACACCCTTATATATTCATTCTAAAAATATCGACAACAAATGTCATGACCTAATTATGATGTCATATTATTGTAACTTAATGGTACCACTTGATATTATTGACCCCACTTAAAAAAAAATCATGGAACAAACGTACACAATATATATGAGCTGTAAATGCAGATTTTTAATAAAAAAACAACAACTTTTTATGAGATAAACATATTCCAAAACTGGTATATGTATTTTTATAGTTAATATGAATGCCAAGAGGAAGCAAAATTTCAGCGTGAAGCACCTGCATGTTTCCTGGAATTTGTAGCGTTATCTAGGTATAAATGTTCAGATGAGTTCTAGGTACATTTAATGCTGGTTTGGCTTGCTGCAGAACCCTGAATTGGTATATGTTCAATTATTATTCTTATTCAACTTTTATTTTATTTTATAGAATATCCATGCAATATCCACTATCAAGTTTAACTCATAATGTATCAATCAAATTTGACATTACATGAATATTCTAATTATAAGCTTACTGTGGCTCCTGTATTTTACTTACGATTTTTCTGTGGAAAAGGAGTCATCGTTGTTGATATTGCTATCATACACCTGGTATTTCTGGGGTGGAGCGGACATGGCACGCCGGAACCCATTGGCAGGCCTCGGCATCTGGTATTGGCGGTCTTTTCCCATGTTAATAAATTTTCCATACCTCATGACTTCATCTCTGCCATACAGACCTGTCAATCAACAAAAAATGGCAGTTCGTTACACTTCTACACTTCCTCATTATTAGAAGGTCCTGGCTGGGGAGAGAAGGGTCCTGGCTGTGGAGAGAAGGGTCCTGGCTGGGGATAGAAGGGTCCTGGCTGGGGAGAGAAGGGTCCTAGCTGGAGAGAGAAGGATCCTTACAGTGGAGAGAAGGGTCCTGGCTGGGGAGAGAAGGGTCCTGGCTGTGGAGAGAAAGGTCATGGCTGGGGATAGAAGGGGCCTGGCTGGGGATAGAAGGGGCCTGGCTGGGGGGAGAAGGGGCCTGGCTGGGGATAGAATGGTCCTGACTGGGGAGAGAAAGGACCTAGCTGGAGAGAGAAGGGTCCTTGCCGGTGAGAGAAGGGTCCTAGCTGGGGAGAGAAGGATCCTTACAGTGGAGAGAAGTGTCCTGGCTGGGGAGAGCAGGGTCCTGGCTGGGGAGGGAAGGGTCCTAGCTGGAGAGAGAAGGGGCCTAGCTGGGGAGAGAAGGATCCTTACAGGGGAGAGAAGGGTCCTGACTGGGGGGAGAAAGGTCCTAGCTGGGGATAGAAGGGTCCTGGGTGGGGAGAGAAGGGTCCTGTCTGGAGAGAGAAGGGTCCTGGCCAGGGAGAGAAGGGTCCTGGATGGGGAGAGAAGGGTCCCAGCTGGAGAGAGAAGGACCTGGCAGTGGAGAGAAGGGTCCTGGCTGTGGAGAGAAAGGTCATGGCTGGGGATAGAAGGGGCCTGGCTGGGGATAGAAGGGGCCTGACTGGGGAGAGAAAGGTCCTAGCTGGGTAGAGAAGGGTCCTAGCTGGGGGGAGAAGGGTCCTGGCTGTGGAGAGAAGGGGCCGGGCTGGGGAGAAAAGGGTCCTGGCGGGGGAGAGAAGGGTCCTTGCCGGTGAGAGAAGGGTCCTGGCCGGGGAGAGAAGGGGCCTAGATGGAGAGAGAAGGATCCTGGTAGTGGAGAGAAGGGTCCTGGCCGGGGAGAGGAGGGTCCTAGCTGGAGATAGAAGGATCCTTACAGTGGAGAGAAGTGTCCTGGCTGGGGATAGAAGGGGCCTGACTGGGGGGAGAAAGGTCCTAGCTGGGGATAGAAGGGTCCTGACTGGGGGGAGAAAGGTCCTAGCTGGGTAGAGAAGGGTCCTAGCTGGGGGGAGAAGGGTCCTGGCTGTGGAGGGAAGGGTCCTGGCTGGGGAGTGAAGGGTCCTGGCTGGGTCTTGGCTGGGAAGAGAATGGTCCTGGCTGGGGAGAGGATCACATCTGAGGGTTTGCTATGTTTGCGGCCTGAAACCATACATGAAATACAACACCTGGAAAGGAGGAGGCACGGTTGTCTAGTGGAAGGACGCCGGGCTGGTGACCAAAGGGGTTCGGGTTCGAGTCACGTCAAGGCACTGTGTTCTATCTTTTAGCATGATACTTTACTCCGCTTGTTGCAGTCTACTCGGCTGTAAATGAGTATGTGGTTGGGCATTTCTAGAATTGTGGAAGGCTAGCTGTGAGCACCGGCCGTATGTCCCCCAGGGAGTTGAGAAAGATATTGGCTGGTTGCAAAGGCCCTATAACCATGGATAATAATTGGTGAACAGCTTTGAGATGACCTACGAACTAGTTTATGAAAAAGCGGTATATAAGAACCTTGAAATTAAATTTATTATTATAAAGTCCTGTCTTTGTGATAGACAGTTCTTAGATTAATGTTTATTAACCCCAACAAATTCAACAAAACTATTGGCTAAATTTTAACACAGTGAAAGTGCTATACATGGTAAACTGTAGCAGGGCACACCAACCTTTTTCCATTTCCTTGAAGAGGAGCTGGTTGTATTGTGCCTGTTTCAGCTTCATCATCTGGCCAGCACTGTAAATGCGTGCTATGTGTGTAAGGTATGCCCGTTCTCCAGGTTTTAGCTCCGGGTGGGTCAGGAGAGGACTGGACTGGAACCGAGCTGGCAGGGAAAGGCGACTTGATGAGCGCCGAGGGCTCTCCGTTAGCATGCCAATCTGGAATGCTGTCGGGTCGGTGGGTACTCGACATGAAGTATGCCTCTTTGGATTGACAGGGGAACCATCTGTAGGCAGGAGAAATAAATGATATAATATATAATACCAGTAAAGTTATAACTGTATATAATGCTGGACTTTGACCGTATATCTATCCATAATAGGATGAATTCTTTTGGCGTTTTAAGCTGATGTGTTCTATTGGGTTTTATTGCAGATTTTTTGTGCATTTATTTAAATGCAAACTGCCACAGTTTATGTGGATTTTCAGCTTTTGCTGTAAGGAGAATAAAATAAACCATGACTTATGACCTTCACCCTTGACTTGTCACCTTGCATTGGAGGATGGGTGTCTTACCATGAAACTTGGCAGGGGAGTTGGTGCCCCACTCCAGCTCGCTGCAGATCGAGGGTGTATAGCGAGGAGACTGGGAGTTCAGGCACTTCGTGTGGAATTCCTTGTTGACTGGAGTTGATGATCGGGAATGACGGTCAGGGTTAGGGATTCTATGAAAAATTTAACAAAACAGTTTTGATCAGTTTGAAATATGATTAGGCAAGAAAGAAGTCCTAATTAAATTTCTTTGAACAAATGAAGAATTAAACAAATATATCCCTGTAGATAATATCTCCCACTGTAATGTTTAACTATAACATAGTCCAGTACTGTATGTGAAGTTCATGTTTGCTAACCTGCCAGACTCTGCATAAGGTTATTTACCCTTTAGGCGATAGGTATTATAAGCTAACTCACCTCTCGGACTCCTGGTTTGGGTCATTGTGGCCTCGTAACTTGCTCTGCTGTAAAAACAGTTTGAACACATTGTTAAATCTTTCGCAGAAGACCAAGATAAAAGCTACAAATGCCTGCATGATATAATCGACAAGTCTTTAGTGCAAGCAATGGTGTGGACATTAAATACTGCATTTTCTGAACACAGGGGAGATAATAAAATGTCTGGGAACATAATGATGTAATCACTTGTAAAAGATGTGCATTGATTAGGTTGCCTTTCAAGCGTCCTTTAGCTCAGCGGTAGAGCATCGGGCTGGAGAGCCAAGGGTCGCGGGTTTGAGCCCCAGTAATGGCACTATCTTTATCCCTATTCCTCGTCCTACTTACCTTGCGAACTTTGTTGTTCATCATGATGAGCTGCGTGCTGCTGTTACTGATGTCATACACCCCTGCCACTGGGCTTGCTGCGGGCCATGGTCGACCATTATACGGCAACCTGAAACATATAAAATAGACCATAATACATACCTGTGTATGATAGTAATATTGATAGTCTTATTAAATCTATTTACTAGGTGGTGTGTATGACCAGGAAACAGTCATGCTTTACCAGAGACGAGGTTCGTTACCCCTTATTACACGACTGGACACTGCTTTACTTTGCATTTTGAGTCAAATATTTTGACGAATAAAATATATCACTTATAAAGGGCATGTATACTTAGCATATTCACAGGGGATTGACCTTTGCCAAGCCCATAACTGACAAAAGATGTCCAACCATAAGGTCATAGAATCAAAGGACAAGAAATGATCGTTTAATTGACCAACCAATGACACTGGCCTACAACTGATGGTAAACTGTCAGAACATTTAGACACATCTGTAAATGTCATTTCAAAAAACAAAAGGCCCAATGGGCCTGCATCGCTCACCTGGTATTAATCTCACAATTGTAACCTTAAAGTGGACTAAAATAAAGCTACAGGCAAAATATCAGTGTCTTGACTTCAAGTCATTCAGAAGAACCTGTTAAACAATTAAAACATGGACATTAAGTTGAACAAACTTCATATCCCTTCTTCCCAGAATGCAACTTGCCAAAGATCACCACCTTATACCTTTTGTTTATTGAGAAGATGACTTTTAAAGATTTATGCACTATAAACTAGATGTGACCATGAAAGTATGTCAAGGTCATTCACATCAACAAGCAATCACCCTGTATGCTTTAGTTATTCAGAAGAAGTCCTTTAAATATTTCAACATATTTGACCCCTGTGACCTTGAATATGGGCAAAGGTCATTCATTTGAACAAACTTAGTAGCCCTTCATGCCAACATCCTTCTGGCCAATTATCATCACCCTGGACCTTTTGGTTATACAAAAGAAGTTGTTTAAAGGTTTTTAAGACAATTGACCCCTGTGACCTTGAATAAGGACAAAGGTCATTGACTTGAACAAACTTTGTAGCCCTTCATGCTAACATCTTTCTGGCCAATTATCATCACCCTGGACCTTTTGGTTATACAAAAGAAGTTGTTTAAAGCCTTTTAAGACAATTGACTCCATTGACCTTGATTATGAGTGAAGGTCATTTGTTTGAACAAACTTGGTAGCCCTTCATCCCCACATGCTACTGGACAAATTTCATCACCCTGAAGCTTTTGGTTATTCAGAAGAAGTTGTTTAAAGGTTTAAACATATTTGACCCCCCTGTGACCTTGAATATGGGTGAAGGTCATTCATTTAAACAAAACTGGTAGTGCTTCATCCAAGCATAATATTGGCCAAATATCATCATCCTGGGCCCTCTGGTTATTCAGAAGAAGTTGCTTAAAGATTTTAACATATTTGACCCCTGTGACCTTGAAAATGGGCAAAGGTCATTCATTTGAACAAACTTGGTAGCCCTCCATCCCAGCATGCTACTGGCCTAACATCATCAGCCTGGGCCTCTTGGTTATTCAGAAGAAGTTGTATAAAGTAAAAAGTTGACGCCGGACAGACGCCAGACGCTGCACCATGCCATAGCTGACTTAGCCCTCCAGGCCAGGTGAGCTAAACAGTTCCTTGTAAAACCTCATTATAAAAATCTTCGTATAAGCATTACCACCCAACACTCATCATCAAACCTTCCAAATAACAGATCCTGAAAAAATATCTACAACAACTCATGCAACCAACCAGACAACCAAACCCCACCCCAACTTCTTTCACTGCCTGTAACACATTAGGCTGGTTGTTAAATCCCTCCACCCAATCCATTGACACCCATTCACTGCCTGTAACACATAAGGATGGATGTTAAATCCCTCCACGCAATCCATTGACACCCATTCACTGCCTGTAACACATAAGGATGGATGTTAAATCCCTCCGCCCAATCCATTGACACCCATTCACTGCCTGTAGCACATTAGGCTGGATGTTAAATCCCTCCACCCAATCCAATGACACCCATTCACTGCCTGTAACACATTAGGCTGGATGTTAAATCCCTCCATCCAATCCATTGACACCCATTCACTGCCTGTAACACATAAGGATGGATGTTAAATCCCTCCACGCAATCCATTGACACCCATTCACTGCCTGTAACACATAAGGATGGATGTTAAATCCCTCCACGCAATCCATTGACACCCATTCACTGCCTGTAACACATAAGGATGGATGTTAAATCCCTCCACGCAATCCATTGACACCCATTCACTGCCTGTAACACATAAGGATGGATGTTAAATCCCTCCACGCAATCCATTGACACCCATTCACTGCCTGTAACACATTAGGTTGGATGTTTAATCCCTCCACCCAATCCATTGCCACCCATTCACTGCCAGTAACACATTAGGCTGGATGTTAAATCCCTCCATCCAATCCATTGACCCCCATTCACTGCCTGTAACACATTAGGATGGATGTTAAATTCCTCCACCCAATCCATTGCCACCCATTCACTGCCTGTAACACATTAGGATGGATGTTAAATTCCTCCACCCAATCCATTGCCACCCATTCACTGCCTGTAACACATTAGGATGGATGTTAAATCCCCCGCCCAATCCATTGACACCCATTCACTGCCTGTAACACATTAGGCTGGATGTTAAATCCCCCCCCCAAATCATTTACAACCATTCCCTGCCTGTAACACATTAGGGTGGATGTTAAATCCCCCCCCCAAACCATTGACACCCATTGACTGCCTGTAACACATTAGGGTGGATGTTAAATCCCTCCCCCCAATCCATTGACCCCCATCCACTGCCTGTAACACATTAGGCTGGATGTTAAATCCCTCCACCCAATCCATTGCCAGTAACACATTGGGATGTCCATATGTCTCCAGATTAAATCCCCACCCATTCCATCCCTCTATCCCTCCACTACCAGAAACACATTAAGACAGACCACAGCTACAGGTTAACTATGTCAGGGAATGCAGAGATATATTTGTAATGAAATTAACCATACATTGACATTATCGTTCCACGTAACAGAATGCTGAGTTAGATACTGTGTTATCAGCGTTTCTCTTATCTATTGATTGACAGTGACTTGACCCCAGTGAAACCAGTCACATCCCCAAATGGAATTGATTGGGCAATGTTTATAGTGTAGCACAATTATGATACTAGAATATGTGTAGCAAAATTAAACAAACACAATATCACACGGAAATAAGATTGATTTATATTTCATGGCTCAGGTAAAAGCTGAAATTGCTACACCAAATCAGCAGATTTATCAAAGAATTAAATGTAGCGTGAACTAGTGTGAAATGTAGTCCTGTGTATATACTTATAGTCAGGTTATTTACAACACAGACAGGAATCAGCACAGGCATGTTCACTGACCTGGCTAATCTTAATGACATGACAAACTGTATACAGCTGGATGAGTATAAGCATCAAATAATCAAAAATTAATATAACATACAACTCAAATTCATGTGAAAATTAGATTTCAAATGAAACATCAGAAAAATGAAATTCTGCAAATGTTTCACCTTCTTCCATCTAATGTTTTTTTGCATCCTGGAAGACACTGTCCTTTGTAATAAATTAAATCTACAGTATTTTTACCCATCTTGTTTGCAATCAGACAAGTTAAAACATGTCCATTACACATAACTAACGGTACTGTATCAAGATTGTTTAAACAACAGCTTGAAAAAAAGAAAACTATATATGTAATTATGGAAATAACCACAGAAATAACCAGAATATAGTATTGTGAAACATGTCTTATCTAACAACTTGTGGGACACAACATATTGGTCAGAATAACCTGTCTAATCTGTCACTCAGAGGGACACAACATATTGGTCATAATAACCTGTCTAATCTGTGACTCAGAGGAACACAACATATTGGTCAGAATAACCTGTCTAATCTGACATCCAGTGAGACACAACATATTGGTCAGAATAACCTGTCTAATCTGACACCTAGTGGGACAACATATTGGTCAGAATAACCTGTCTAATCGGACTCCTAGTGGGACACAACATATTGGTCAGAATAAACTGTCTAATCTGTCACTCAGAGGAACACAACATATCGGTCAGAATAACCTGTCTAATCTGACACCCAGCAAGACAACATTGGTCAGATTAACCTGCCTAATCTGACACCTAGTGGGTCACAACATATTGGTCAGAATAACCTGTCTAATCGGACTCCTAGTGGGACACAACATATTGGTCAGAATACCCTGTCTAATCTGACACCTAGTGGGACATCATATTGGTCAGAATAACCTGTCTAATCTGACATGCAGCAAGACAACATTGGTCAGAATAACCTGTCTAATCTGACACCTAGTGGGACAACATATTGGTCAGAATAACCTGTCGAATCTGACATCCAGCAAGACAACATTGGTCAGATTAACCTGCCTAATCTGACACCCTGTGGAACACAGGTCATTGACATGATGTGCTTGTATGCAGGTCTTATTTGGCAGTTTTCATTAGAAATATAATTACATCATGTCTGATTCAGCAAAATGTCAGAAAACTTTATATAACCTCTATTTGATGTCACAAAAGATGTATTCAGGGGATTTCATCTTCATTCAATAGCAATCTATCCTTATTCCTAATGCAGCAGAAATTAAATTCAAAATGAATTTACACTCAAAGATAATTAGAAAGTTTTCACTATGAAGCATACCAAATGATATTTAATGCATTTTATACTATAATACAGTAATTACAAACAGGCCCATACAATCAACTTACTGTAAATTAACAATCCTAGCCTGTGTTTCTACAAAAGCTCAGTGGGGCTGGTTGTAGATAAGGTCAACCACAGTACTTGTGTATCTGACAGTTTGATTAAAATGCTTTATTTAACTTTTGCAGAAACCAATTTAAAAGAACAAGAAAATCAGTTTCCATATTACTTAGAGCTTACACAACAATGCATATTGAACAAAAGCAATTGACTCTACAGCCATTGTAAGCAATTTTGACTCTACAGCCA